GTTGTGATCCACCCTGAGCTTGCTTTGCCTTGCTTTGCTTGACTGGTCTTGTGACCCCTTGTTCTCTCCCACTTTGCCTATGGGGGTGTGTCAAACTCATACACTATAGTCTGTGTAGGCTGTAGTGGGGTAGCTTATATGGGGTACAACATTCTAGGGTTTGGTACTTGTACTCCTCATGCTGCTCAATGCACTCACCACTCTCGTTCTATTCTAAGATTCTAACATTCCCCCCCACTCACGTACTAGAACCTACGACTTACCTCACAAGTCCCCCTCGTTCAATTTTTGTTCAACGTCAACCAGAAGTGCGTACCTGGTTCCTTCGACTAGCAACTACGTCCTGATGTTGACCTTAGTATGATGCTACTTATTTACCGGCGATGTCTCCGACTCCTTGCACGTCAGAGTTAACGTCAATGCCTTATTCTGGACTTTCTACCTTCCATTTACCATATAATTCCCTTTTCCAGGTCGACGAATTTCAACACTTTCGCGGATGACATGTACGCAAATATTGAAGCGTAGGCGCATTCCAACAACTACTCCTTTGACAGTTGGAAAGGTATACGAATATCGGTGATGTATACGTTTTCATGGTTTCGCCATATGTCATATGTTTGCAGTCCCAAGTTATGTTACCTTAGTTCTTACGTTTGCATCTACTTCTTTTATTCGGTTAGAGACTACCCTTTCGTAGTTAGAGCACAGCAACCGACTATGCACAGGCTAATTACGATCGATTTGGTGTTCGCAAACTGGTTATCACTAACTCTACTGGAGCAAGCTGACGTGCTTAAAGCTGCAGTCTACATACAGAAAGGGATTTTCTGGGGGTAATCTAAGTGCACACCCTTTGGCGCAAGATGATTCGAGAGCGAAGTGAGGGGCCACCCCAAACACCTGCGCGAGGATTTCAAACACCATTGGCGACGACAAGCAATTTCGCGAGCGAAGTTTGCTTGGGGAAAGTAAACCGCGGAGATGCGGAAGACCCTGCGCCCAACACAAACTCCCAAGCGGAGCAGGAAGCGCGTGCCAGAGTTAGGGCGGGGGCAGCGCGTTCATTTTCGCCAATTGTACAAAATTTTGACACCCGTCGAATCTGGAGGTTACTGTAGCTTTTTTGTACCGCGCTTAGTTTGTGTCCCAGGTGGGACACGCGCGTCCAAAATCCGGCACAGGACCCGCCACATTTTTGCCAAACCGCCCACCCAACGAGGTAACCCTGTGCCCCCGAATTGAAGGTGGCAAAACTTCGTGGACACCAGACACTTTAACCCTTGGATTTGCGAGGGTCGTACGCGCTTGACGAAGTCGTGGTGCGGTTTCGCTGACGTTTTCAAGGGCTTTCTCAAATGATGCGCGGGTTGTTCGGGGATGTTGTGGGAACGTGTTTTGTTCGATTGACGGCACGGAAAACAGCCACCGTTCATCCACTGTATACTCCGTCGTGTCCACAGGTTACCTTAAATCGGGGTTACAAACCCCTGAATCTGGTAACTGTTTCGGGCTAAGCCAGGAAAATGAACGCGCTGCCCCCGCCCTTAGCAGTACAGGCAAACAGTGCACCCTACGCCATACCGCACTAGCCTGCGATTCCCTCCACTAGCATCAGGCAGCGCATGAGAGTAATGCACACCACCGCGCATTATGCCGCGAAATTCGCCTGTGGCGCGTACTGTGGAGTCAGAAACACGCAGCCACTGTGATAGCCGCTATTCCTGCTAGCAGCGTGTAGCGTAACATCTGTTTCACGCCACCCCGCTCACAGCCACGATTATGGCCAGCTGCGCGTACCGTAGCGTCTGCTACACGCCACCACGCTACGCCGCGATTCCCGCTCGCGGCGTCTGTTTCGTGCCACCGCGCTATGAGCCGCGATTTCCGCGAGTAGAGTCACCCGTAGCGGCTAGCTGGAAAGCCACCCCGCTTATCGGCGCGATTCTCGCCATGTGCGCGTGGCGTAGCGCCTTTTCCCCGCCATCGTACTCGCGGTCGCGATCCCTTTAGGCGAGGAGGAAGTAGCCGCCACTCCTGTGGCAAACCCGTAGTCAAGTGAATGGAGAAACCCACCGTTTTCTCTGCCTCGTTTTTGTTTATACAGTCTTTATAGCGTGACGCGGATCGTGCCATACGTGGGCAACCTCCCAAGGAAGCCATATGGGAGGTGGAGTGAGCATAGGAAGCCCAGCGCCTCTTCATCGCCTGCTTGTCGCGTCGCCTTGGTCACAACGTCCTCGCCCCCTTTGGTCGCATGTCCCCTCACCCCCAGTTCGCACCTCCCTTTCCCCCCAGGTCGCGGCTCCGTTTCCCCCCAGGTCGCGGCTCCGTTTCCCCCCAGGTCGCGGCTCCGTTTCTCGCTGCACCATTTCCCTCCAGGTCGCATATCCGCGGATCCGCAAGTCGCACCTCCCTTTTCCCCCAGATTGCACCTCCCTTTTCCCCTAAATCGCATCTCCGTTTTCCCCCAGATCGCACCTCCCTTTTCCCCTAAATCGCATCTCCGTTTTCCCCCAGATCGCACCTCCCTTTTCCCCTAAATCGCATCTCCCTTTTCCCCCAGATCGCACCTCCCTTTTCCCCTAAATCGCACCTCCGTTTTCCCCCAGGTCGCACCTCCCTTTTTCTTCCCCATTTCCTCACTACTCTCCCTTGGTTTCCCGCCTCCCCCCTTCCGCCACCCGCGTCTGCAGCCTCGTGACCGCCACGAAATCGCCAGCTGCACGTTTGACGAGGAGCGCGAGATGCGCCCATTCACGCGCCAGCGCCTTTCCTCATCCCTCCGAACCTCTTCCTCTCCGCCCTCTGGTTGTGGTGAGTGCGTGCGTGGTGAGTGGGGTGGCAGGAGTCCCGTGGCAGCAGCGTGGGTGCGAGGGGCAGAGGCATAGCGAGTGCGGTTTTCGGGAGGGAAGTGCATCTCGCACTCAACTGCGCTCACACGAACCTGCGCATTCCTCCGCATCTATTCAATCCCCTTCTTCGAGGCACATTCCTAGCACACCTGACTAGCGCACATTTCTCATCCTTTTTTCCGCTCGTCATCTGCTCACCTCCCTGTCTTCCTCTCTCCTTCCCTTGTCCACCTCCACCCTTGTCATCCTCTCCCCCCCCCATTCTTCCTCCGTCCCCCCTGTCATCCTCTCTCCCCCCAGTCGTCCTCTCTCCCCCCAGTCGTCCTCTCTCCCCCCAGTCCTCCTCTCTCCCCCCAGTCGTCCTCTCTCCCCCCAGTCCTCCTCCGTCCCCGCTGTCCTCTCTCCACCCTCTTATCCTCTCCCCGTCCTGTCCACTCCCCTGGCGTCGATGGTGCACTACCCCCATGAGCCTCATGGTGAGCAACCCTTCATTCTCCCTCCCTTTCCCCTGTTGTTTCCCTTCCCCCCCAATTTCCTTTCCCCCATTTCCCTTCCCACCATTTCCCTTCCCCTGCCTCCCTTCCCCCTGTTACCATTCCCCCCTGTCATCCTCTCATGCCCCCCCCAACTCTCTCCTCACTTCCGCTTCCGTTTCCCCTTCTTTCTCCCTCCTGGTGCCCTTTTTCACACTTTCTTTCTTTCTTTCCTCCTCTTCCCTGCTGCAGCTGGCAGAGCTGTGAAGCTTCTTTCCTTTTACCCTGCATTGCCCTGCCGCTCTCCTCTTTCCCTGCGTGCCAGGCTAAGTGTACAGTGCAGGCGGCAGCATGGCAGCAGGCCGCCATGCAGGGTTTAGGGCGTGGGTGGGGATGCAGGCAGGCGTGGGCTCTCCACTCGCCCTGCCTCCACACGTGCTTCTCTTCCGCCCCTGCTTCCTACCTGCTTGGGCCTATGAGTTGCTGCTGCAGCTGGGTTGACTAGGGGAGCACGAGCACAGCATGGGCCCTCACCACTCCGCAGGAGCTACATTAGCCTACATGTGTGCTGAAGCGACAGTATGAGTGGTGGAAGGGGGTTTTGTATCATTAGTTAGCTACCGTATAAGACAATGTATGTTCTTCACAGCCACTTAGTGCTGCAAAAGGTGACCATTACAAGAGCCCACTCAGTACCAAGGTCATAATTGGATGTGTAAAACCGCAACTTGATAGGAAAATTTGTTACACCCTTGCTATTCGAGGTTTTGATACAGCAAGGACCCACACCACACCACACTATCCTAAATCCAACTAACTAGTCTGCTTGGTTGGATGCATCACGAGCTGCAGCACAGAAGGGAGATGGTAGGAGGGAACACTTACAGTAACAGTACATGCATTCACATACAATGCCAAAACTAATGACAAACTAGGAACCCTTAGGCTGCAGTGCTATGAGATGAGTAGATGTCAGCCTGCCGCTAGTAGACTGAGAGGCGGGAAGACGAAGTGGCGAGGAGGCGAGGATGCAGAAAAGGGAGAGAGGGCAGGGAGGGAAGAGAGAGCAGAGAGGGAAGAGTGGACAGGGCGGGAAGAGAGGACAGGGAGAGAAGAGAGAACAGGGAGGGAAGAGAGGACAGGGAGGGAAGAGAGGACAGGCAGGGGGGAAACAATGGGTAAGCAGGGGGGAAAGAGAGAGTGAACACGGGGGAAACAACAGGTAAGCAGGGGAAAAGGAAAGAGTGAGCAGGGGGGATACAATGGATTAGCGGGGGGGAAAGAAAGAGTGAGCAGGGGGGAAACAATGGGTAAGCTGGGGGGAGGGAAAGAGTGAGCAGGGGGAAAACAATGGGCAAGCAGGAGATAGGACGGGGAACTCGCATTGTTTTGGGGCCGGAGGTGCGATGCGAGAGTGGAAAAATTGGACACTGGAGAATGCCTATCCCCCCCTCCCCCTCCCCCTCCTCCTCCCCGCTCCCCCTCCCCCTTTCGCCCCCTTCTCGCTGCTTATTCCCTCTCCTCCCCTCCCCCCACCCCAGCCTTCTCGCTCCTCATCCCCTCTCCCCAAGGTGCTACGTTTCTGTCTACCACCCCCGCTTTCCTCGATGCTGGTGGTTATTGGCAATGGCAGGGATGGGAGTAGTGGAACAGAGACACGGCAAAGGGGGAACTAGCGGGTAGGGAAAGGGGGAAGGTGCGTATAGGACAGGGGGAGGCAGGGCGAAGGGAAAGGGGAAAGCCGCCAGTAGGGAATGAGGAAAACCAGCGCGTAGGGAATGGGAATAGCAGCGCGAGGGGAAGCGGGGAAGCAGCGCGAGGGGAAGCGGGGACGCAGCGCGAGGGGAAGCTGGGAAGCAGCGCGAGGGGAAGCGGGGATGCAGCGCGAGGGGAAGCGGGGATGCAGCGCGATGGGAAGCGGGGATGCAGCGCGATGGGAAGCGGGGATGCAGCGCGATGGGAAGCGGGGATGCAGCGCGAGGGGAGGGGAGGGTAGAACGAGGGAAAAAACTGGGAGGGAACGAAGCAAAACAGAAGCAGGGGAAACGACCACCATCGGGCGGAACCGTACGAGTGGCGACGCTGAAAGCGGGGAGCGGAGAAATGGAATGCGCTGAGCTCGAAAAGGGGAGCGGGATTGCGCGAGCAAAAAGTTGGACAGTGAAAGCGACGCGCTGGTTGCAACGAGCGACTCCGGTTTTGCGGCGATCGTCGCCGAGTGGGCGCTGCGGCACGCGGCGACTAGCAGCGACACTCGAGCTTTGAGCTGCGAGCGAAAGACGACGCAGATACGCGACAATCATCTGCCTAGCGTATTGCTCAACACGACGGAAAACAGTGACTTGAATGGCGGGCTACGATCGGCCAGCGACGAACTGCGACATTTGAAATCCAAGCCGCGAAAGGATACGATTGGCGACGAACGGGAACCGATTGACGGGCATTGAACGCTCGGCGACGAACGACCGTCCAGCGAACAGAAAGCGGGGAACGGTAAGAGGTGGATATCTGAGAGCCGGATTCGATGAGCTCATGGCCTTGTTGCAGATCGGCGACAAGACGGAAGCGACGAGGTGAAAGCGTGGCAGAAAGCGGCTAGTCTGAACGCGGGGAGCACGACGGTCAAGCACGAGGCGACGAGGCGAGCAGAATGCGGCGGCGAGCGCAGCGCAGCTCGCGACGGGGTGGTTTTCTGCGCAACTGATCTGCGGCCTACGCGGACAGTGTCGCAAGAAGTTAGTGGAGCTGGGCGGAGCAAGATATTAGCGACTATTTTCTGAGTCACTACGTGAGGGGTTCACAGGTTGGGCCGTCGTGCTCGTCATACTTTTGGTAAACAAACTCACCCACGAAGTGGATCAAGTTCTAACCTCGCGAAATCGTCCGGTTTGGGAACCCCCACCCCCCTCCCGAAACCTTCCCCCACGATTGTTCGTTTCTCCGCAGAGGGGTACTTGTGAAGGAAGGGTTACCCTGTTTCCAAGTGATAAACCTTTGCCTCCCGCTCGAAGTATGTAGACCACAGCTTTAACAACAACCTTGTGTGTGCAGGTTTCACATATGTGGACGTCGTCACTTACCTTTTTTTCTTGCAGGAGTATAAATGTCTCCAATCGCACATGCGTATTTTGCAGGGTGTACTTGTTAATATTGTCAACCAGTACCGCAGTATGTATATTTTCCAACATTGAAGCATACTCCATTATTACTAACCCCAATGGTGAGTGTTGAAAATGCTATGTTGTTTTGCTGTTACCTGTTTCCATGTCTGTTTTTCCAGTTTACAATTACCTAACTTGTGGAGGTTTTCTTCTTAGGTGTAGAAACATAGCCCTGCAGGATAAGTTAGGACTAGGTGCCTAAATGAAAATACGTGTACAATGTATGTCCGCGTTGTGAATACTAATAATGCTGTAAGGAGAAACCAAATCATTACAGGTTAACTGCTAATGTCTGGTCAATCAACTGCGTCGCAGGGATTTTTCTAGAAAATGCCAGCCAATCGTAATTCGTTATTGTACACCAAATCGCAGGCTACGATTGGTCCACATCGCAGTATCTCGTGCATCTAGCAGATTCTAATCTGACGGTTGTCGTTAGAGTACGATAATTGACACGTCAGCGTTTCTGAGTTTCATCTAGAGTACGGCGTACGCCACGTGGCGTCGTCATGACACTTTCGCACAGGTTGCTCAAAGTTAACGGAAATGTTGCTATACTGTATACTTGGTCAGTTGCCCCAATGTGTACAGTTAGAGACGGAAGAGTGACTGGGAGGTTGCTTTGTAAGTGACTGTCGCCATGCAGTTCTAAAACCTTGACTTGAAAGTGCCGGGCAAAAAATATCGGGAAAGTTGCGGGAGAGTGTATTTTGAGTTGCTTTTCGCACTTCCCCTTTTCGCGATGCTGGAAATTGGCCAAGTCACTGAAGCACTTAGAGAATTCGCCCAAGTGACTGGAGCACACTGGACATTCAGCGGAATCTGAAACATACTGGAAATTCGGCTAAGTCACTCAAGCTTTCCGAAATTTGGCGAAGTCACAGAAACACCAGAATTTTGTCTTTGTCGCTGGGACAAGCTGGAAACTTAGTTAAGTCCCTTTAACACGCTAAGCTCGCTCAGTGACGGAACAAGCTAAGTCCTGCTCTGAGCGGGTCTGCAGAGCTCAGCAGTGTTAGCGAGATTTCTACCCTGCCAGTTCCGACAAGAAAATACAAAACACCCTGCCATTTCCTGAGTATGCCGCGATTGGCACACTGCAGTGGCAGGGTGAAGGTCGGCCACGACTCGCTTCTGGCAGGGTGCCCAAAAACACATCGAGAGGCCTGGTAATTACCCCGGTAAGTAGTGACGCCAGAGACAACCATAGGCTCTGCACTGATAGTAATGTGCTAACGGAAGCCACCGATGGCTTTGAGCCTCACGTTTCCGTGCCGCTAAAATCAGCGTGCGATTACACTGAGAACGACATGGAGTGAGTCGCCCCTCCGACTATGCAAATTACATGGGCCACGGCATGCAGTAACACGGGCAACACGATTAGGGATGTTATGTGATTTTTGCGGGAACATGGCGTGATCTCTCACAATCCGCGTACACATCAGGGGACGAGATAGTGACGCAAACTCGCCCGCACAGTGGCGTCACATGGCAGGCTGCGCAATTATCAAAGCGCATTCCCAACGGCCGTTACGGGGTGAGATTGCTCACCGAGGCGCACACCCCTCGCACTCTGCATACTAAGCGGAATGCTAACTATGCTCCCCCCGTCTGATCCAGGCCTCGATCACCCCGCTCCCCCCATCTCCCTTCACCGCAGTACTCGCATACGGGTAGGTATCAATTTCGTTGTGACCGAAGGCGTCAACGCAAACGAATAGTTTGCCACCTGCACACGATAGGGTGTGCCTGTGATCGAAATGCCCCGGTACGGGCACTACAATGTGCGATTAGGAGTTATACGTGAGGCTGCTCACAACCCCAAGGGAGCTTGTCCTAGGGAGACGGTCAGGGAGGTAACCCCTGCTACAATGCTCCTCACCTCCCACGCCCCGCTGCTCCCTTGCTCCCACGCCCCGCTGCTCCCTTGCTCCCATGCCCCGCTGCTCCCTTGCTCCCATGCCCCGCTGCTCCCTTGCTCCCATGCCCCGCTGCTCCCTTGCTCCCATGCCCCGCTGCTCCCTTGCTCCCATGCCCCGCTGCTCCCTTGCTCCCATGCCCCGCTGCTCCCTTGCTCCCATGCCCCGCTGCTCCCTTGCTCCCATGCCCCGCTGCTCCCTTGCTCCCATGCCCCGCTGCTCCCTTGCTCCCATGCCCCGCTGCTCCCTTGCTCCCATGCCCCGCTGCTCCCTTGCTCCCATGCCCCGCTGCTCCCTTGCTCCCATGCCCCGCTGCTCCCTTGCTCCCATGCCCCGCTGCTCCCTTGCTCCCATGCCCCGCTGCTCCCTTGCTCCCATGCCCCGCTGCTCCCTTGCTCCCATGCCCCGCTGCTCCCTTGCTCCCATGCCCCGCTGCTCCCTTGCTCCCATGCCCCGCTGCTCCCTTGCTCCCATGCCCCGCTGCTCCCTTGCTCCCATGCCCCGCTGCTCCCTTGCTCCCATGCCCCGCTGCTCCCTTGCTCCCATGCCCCGCTGCTCCCTTGCTCCCATGCCCCGCTGCTCCCTTGCTCCCATGCCCCGCTGCTCCCCTGCTCCCATGCCCCGCTGCTCCCCTGCTCCCATGCCCCGCTGCTCCCTTGCTCCCATGCCCCGCTGCTCCCTTGCTCCCATGCCCCGCTGCTCCCTTGCTCCCATGCCCCGCTGCTCCCTTGCTCCCATGCCCCGCTGCTCCCTTGCTCCCATGCCCCGCTGCTCCCTTGCTCCCATGCCCCGCTGCTCCCTTGCTCCCATGCCCCGCTGCTCCCTTGCTCCCATGCCCCGCTGCTCCCTTGCTCCCATGCCCCGCTGCTCCCTTGCTCCCATGCCCCGCTGCTCCCTTGCTCCCATGCCCCGCTGCTCCCTTGCTCCCATGCCCCGCTGCTCCCTTGCTCCCATGCCCCGCTGCTCCCTTGCTCCCATGCCCCGCTGCTCCCTTGCTCCCATGCCCCGCTGCTCCCTTGCTCCCATGCCCCGCTGCTCCCTTGCTCCCATGCCCCGCTGCTCCCTTGCTCCCATGCCCCGCTGCTCCCTTGCTCCCATGCCCCGCTGCTCCCTTGCTCCCATGCCCCGCTGCTCCCTTGCTCCCATGCCCCGCTGCTCCCTTGCTCCCATGCCCCGCTGCTCCCTTGCTCCCATGCCCCGCTGCTCCCTTGCTCCCATGCCCCGCTGCTCCCTTGCTCCCATGCCCCGCTGCTCCCCTGCTCCCATGCCCCGCTGCTCCCTGCTCCCATGCCCCGCTGCTCCCTTGCTCCCATGCCCCGCTGCTCCCTTGCTCCCATGCCCCGCTGCTCCCTTGCTCCCATGCCCCGCTGCTCCCTTGCTCCCATGCCCCGCTGCTCCCTTGCTCCCATGCCCCGCTGCTCCCTTGCTCCCATGCCCCGCTGCTCCCTTGCTCCCATGCCCCGCTGCTCCCTTGCTCCCATGCCCCGCTGCTCCCTTGCTCCCATGCCCCGCTGCTCCCTTGCTCCCATGCCCCGCTGCTCCCTTGCTCCCATGCCCCGCTGCTCCCTTGCTCCCATGCCCCGCTGCTCCCTTGCTCCCATGCCCCGCTGCTCCCTTGCTCCCATGCCCCGCTGCTCCCTTGCTCCCATGCCCCGCTGCTCCCTTGCTCCCATGCCCCGCTGCTCCCTTGCTCCCATGCCCCGCTGCTCCCTTGCTCCCATGCCCCGCTGCTCCCTTGCTCCCATGCCCCGCTGCTCCCTTGCTCCCATGCCCCGCTGCTCCCTTGCTCCCATGCCCCGCTGCTCCCTTGCTCCCATGCCCCGCTGCTCCCTTGCTCCCATGCCCCGCTGCTCCCTTGCTCCCATGCCCCGCTGCTCCCTTGCTCCCATGCCCCGCTGCTCCCTTGCTCCCATGCCCCGCTGCTCCCTTGCTCCCATGCCCCGCTGCTCCCTTGCTCCCATGCCCCGCTGCTCCCTTGCTCCCATGCCCCGCTGCTCCCTTGCTCCCATGCCCCGCTGCTCCCTTGCTCCCATGCCCCGCTGCTCCCTTGCTCCCATGCCCCGCTGCTCCCTTGCTCCCATGCCCCGCTGCTCCCTTGCTCCCATGCCCCGCTGCTCCCTTGCTCCCATGCCCCGCTGCTCCCTTGCTCCCATGCCCCGCTGCTCCCTTGCTCCCATGCCCCGCTGCTCCCTTGCTCCCATGCCCCGCTGCTCCCTTGCTCCCATGCCCCGCTGCTCCCTTGCTCCCATGCCCCGCTGCTCCCTTGCTCCCATGCCCCGCTGCTCCCTTGCTCCCATGCCCCGCTGCTCCCTTGCTCCCATGCCCCGCTGCTCCCTTGCTCCCATGCCCCGCTGCTCCCTTGCTCCCATGCCCCGCTGCTCCCTTGCTCCCATGCCCCGCTGCTCCCTTGCTCCCATGCCCCGCTGCTCCCTTGCTCCCATGCCCCGCTGCTCCCTTGCTCCCATGCCCCGCTGCTCCCTTGCTCCCATGCCCCGCTGCTCCCTTGCTCCCATGCCCCGCTGCTCCCTTGCTCCCATGCCCCGCTGCTCCCTTGCTCCCATGCCCCGCTGCTCCCTTGCTCCCATGCCCCGCTGCTCCCTTGCTCCCATGCCCCGCTGCTCCCTTGCTCCCATGCCCCGCTGCTCCCTTGCTCCCATGCCCCGCTGCTCCCTTGCTCCCATGCCCCGCTGCTCCCTTGCTCCCATGCCCCGCTGCTCCCTTGCTCCCATGCCCCGCTGCTCCCTTGCTCCCATGCCCCGCTGCTCCCTTGCTCCCATGCCCCGCTGCTCCCTTGCTCCCATGCCCCGCTGCTCCCTTGCTCCCATGCCCCGCTGCTCCCTTGCTCCCATGCCCCGCTGCTCCCTTGCTCCCATGCCCCGCTGCTCCCTTGCTCCCATGCCCCGCTGCTCCCTTGCTCCCATGCCCCGCTGCTCCCTTGCTCCCATGCCCCGCTGCTCCCTTGCTCCCATGCCCCGCTGCTCCCTTGCTCCCATGCCCCGCTGCTCCCTTGCTCCCATGCCCCGCTGCTCCCTTGCTCCCATGCCCCGCTGCTCCCTTGCTCCCATGCCCCGCTGCTCCCTTGCTCCCATGCCCCGCTGCTCCCTTGCTCCCATGCCCCGCTGCTCCCTTGCTCCCATGCCCCGCTGCTCCCTTGCTCCCATGCCCCGCTGCTCCCTTGCTCCCATGCCCCGCTGCTCCCTTGCTCCCATGCCCCGCTGCTCCCTTGCTCCCATGCCCCGCTGCTCCCTTGCTCCCATGCCCCGCTGCTCCCTTGCTCCCATGCCCCGCTGCTCCCTTGCTCCCATGCCCCGCTGCTCCCTTGCTCCCATGCCCCGCTGCTCCCTTGCTCCCATGCCCCGCTGCTCCCTTGCTCCCATGCCCCGCTGCTCCCTTGCTCCCATGCCCCGCTGCTCCCTTGCTCCCATGCCCCGCTGCTCCCTTGCTCCCATGCCCCGCTGCTCCCTTGCTCCCATGCCCCGCTGCTCCCTTGCTCCCATGCCCCGCTGCTCCCTTGCTCCCATGCCCCGCTGCTCCCTTGCTCCCATGCCCCGCTGCTCCCTTGCTCCCATGCCCCGCTGCTCCCTTGCTCCCATGCCCCGCTGCTCCCTTGCTCCCATGCCCCGCTGCTCCCTTGCTCCCATGCCCCGCTGCTCCCTTGCTCCCATGCCCCGCTGCTCCCTTGCTCCCATGCCCCGCTGCTCCCTTGCTCCCATGCCCCGCTGCTCCCTTGCTCCCATGCCCCGCTGCTCCCTTGCTCCCATGCCCCGCTGCTCCCTTGCTCCCATGCCCCGCTGCTCCCTTGCTCCCATGCCCCGCTGCTCCCTTGCTCCCATGCCCCGCTGCTCCCTTGCTCCCATGCCCCGCTGCTCCCTTGCTCCCATGCCCCGCTGCTCCCTTGCTCCCATGCCCCGCTGCTCCCTTGCTCCCATGCCCCGCTGCTCCCTTGCTCCCATGCCCCGCTGCTCCCTTGCTCCCATGCCCCGCTGCTCCCTTGCTCCCATGCCCCGCTGCTCCCTTGCTCCCATGCCCCGCTGCTCCCTTGCTCCCATGCCCCGCTGCTCCCTTGCTCCCATGCCCCGCTGCTCCCTTGCTCCCATGCCCCGCTGCTCCCTTGCTCCCATGCCCCGCTGCTCCCTTGCTCCCATGCCCCGCTGCTCCCTTGCTCCCATGCCCCGCTGCTCCCTTGCTCCCATGCCCCGCTGCTCCCTTGCTCCCATGCCCCGCTGCTCCCTTGCTCCCATGCCCCGCTGCTCCCTTGCTCCCATGCCCCGCTGCTCCCTTGCTCCCATGCCCCGCTGCTCCCTTGCTCCCATGCCCCGCTGCTCCCTTGCTCCCATGCCCCGCTGCTCCCTTGCTCCCATGCCCCGCTGCTCCCTTGCTCCCATGCCCCGCTGCTCCCTTGCTCCCATGCCCCGCTGCTCCCTTGCTCCCATGCCCCGCTGCTCCCTTGCTCCCATGCCCCGCTGCTCCCTTGCTCCCATGCCCCGCTGCTCCCTTGCTCCCATGCCCCGCTGCTCCCTTGCTCCCATGCCCCGCTGCTCCCTTGCTCCCATGCCCCGCTGCTCCCTTGCTCCCATGCCCCGCTGCTCCCTTGCTCCCATGCCCCGCTGCTCCCTTGCTCCCATGCCCCGCTGCTCCCTTGCTCCCATGCCCCGCTGCTCCCTTGCTCCCATGCCCCGCTGCTCCCTTGCTCCCATGCCCCGCTGCTCCCTTGCTCCCATGCCCCGCTGCTCCCTTGCTCCCATGCCCCGCTGCTCCCTTGCTCCCATGCCCCGCTGCTCCCTTGCTCCCATGCCCCGCTGCTCCCTTGCTCCCATGCCCCGCTGCTCCCTTGCTCCCATGCCCCGCTGCTCCCTTGCTCCCATGCCCCGCTGCTCCCTTGCTCCCATGCCCCGCTGCTCCCTTGCTCCCATGCCCCGCTGCTCCCTTGCTCCCATGCCCCGCTGCTCCCTTGCTCCCATGCCCCGCTGCTCCCTTGCTCCCATGCCCCGCTGCTCCCTTGCTCCCATGCCCCGCTGCTCCCTTGCTCCCATGCCCCGCTGCTCCCTTGCTCCCATGCCCCGCTGCTCCCTTGCTCCCATGCCCCGCTGCTCCCTTGCTCCCATGCCCCGCTGCTCCCTTGCTCCCATGCCCCGCTGCTCCCTTGCTCCCATGCCCCGCTGCTCCCTTGCTCCCATGCCCCGCTGCTCCCTTGCTCCCATGCCCCGCTGCTCCCTTGCTCCCATGCCCCGCTGCTCCCTTGCTCCCATGCCCCGCTGCTCCCTTGCTCCCATGCCCCGCTGCTCCCTTGCTCCCATGCCCCGCTGCTCCCTTGCTCCCATGCCCCGCTGCTCCCTTGCTCCCATGCCCCGCTGCTCCCTTGCTCCCATGCCCCGCTGCTCCCTTGCTCCCATGCCCCGCTGCTCCCTTGCTCCCATGCCCCGCTGCTCCCTTGCTCCCATGCCCCGCTGCTCCCTTGCTCCCATGCCCCGCTGCTCCCTTGCTCCCATGCCCCGCTGCTCCCTTGCTCCCATGCCCCGCTGCTCCCTTGCTCCCATGCCCCGCTGCTCCCTTGCTCCCATGCCCCGCTGCTCCCTTGCTCCCATGCCCCGCTGCTCCCTTGCTCCCATGCCCCGCTGCTCCCTTGCTCCCATGCCCCGCTGCTCCCTTGCTCCCATGCCCCGCTGCTCCCTTGCTCCCATGCCCCGCTGCTCCCTTGCTCCCATGCCCCGCTGCTCCCTTGCTCCCATGCCCCGCTGCTCCCTTGCTCCCATGCCCCGCTGCTCCCTTGCTCCCATGCCCCGCTGCTCCCTTGCTCCCATGCCCCGCTGCTCCCTTGCTCCCATGCCCCGCTGCTCCCTTGCTCCCATGCCCCGCTGCTCCCTTGCTCCCATGCCCCGCTGCTCCCTTGCTCCCATGCCCCGCTGCTCCCTTGCTCCCATGCCCCGCTGCTCCCTTGCTCCCATGCCCCGCTGCTCCCTTGCTCCCATGCCCCGCTGCTCCCTTGCTCCCATGCCCCGCTGCTCCCTTGCTCCCATGCCCCGCTGCTCCCTTGCTCCCATGCCCCGCTGCTCCCTTGCTCCCATGCCCCGCTGCTCCCTTGCTCCCATGCCCCGCTGCTCCCTTGCTCCCATGCCCCGCTGCTCCCTTGCTCCCATGCCCCGCTGCTCCCTTGCTCCCATGCCCCGCTGCTCCCTTGCTCCCATGCCCCGCTGCTCCCTTGCTCCCATGCCCCGCTGCTCCCTTGCTCCCATGCCCCGCTGCTCCCTTGCTCCCATGCCCCGCTGCTCCCTTGCTCCCATGCCCCGCTGCTCCCTTGCTCCCATGCCCCGCTGCTCCCTTGCTCCCATGCCCCGCTGCTCCCTTGCTCCCATGCCCCGCTGCTCCCTTGCTCCCATGCCCCGCTGCTCCCTTGCTCCCATGCCCCGCTGCTCCCTTGCTCCCATGCCCCGCTGCTCCCTTGCTCCCATGCCCCGCTGCTCCCTTGCTCCCATGCCCCGCTGCTCCCTTGCTCCCATGCCCCGCTGCTCCCTTGCTCCCATGCCCCGCTGCTCCCTTGCTCCCATGCCCCGCTGCTCCCTTGCTCCCATGCCCCGCTGCTCCCTTGCTCCCATGCCCCGCTGCTCCCTTGCTCCCATGCCCCGCTGCTCCCTTGCTCCCATGCCCCGCTGCTCCCTTGCTCCCATGCCCCGCTGCTCCCTTGCTCCCATGCCCCGCTGCTCCCTTGCTCCCATGCCCCGCTGCTCCCTTGCTCCCATGCCCCGCTGCTCCCTTGCTCCCATGCCCCGCTGCTCCCTTGCTCCCATGCCCCGCTGCTCCCTTGCTCCCATGCCCCGCTGCTCCCTTGCTCCCATGCCCCGCTGCTCCCTTGCTCCCATGCCCCGCTGCTCCCTTGCTCCCATGCCCCGCTGCTCCCTTGCTCCCATGCCCCGCTGCTCCCTTGCTCCCATGCCCCGCTGCTCCCTTGCTCCCATGCCCCGCTGCTCCCTTGCTCCCATGCCCCGCTGCTCCCTTGCTCCCATGCCCCGCTGCTCCCTTGCTCCCATGCCCCGCTGCTCCCTTGCTCCCATGCCCCGCTGCTCCCTTGCTCCCATGCCCCGCTGCTCCCTTGCTCCCATGCCCCGCTGCTCCCTTGCTCCCATGCCCCGCTGCTCCCTTGCTCCCATGCCCCGCTGCTCCCTTGCTCCCATGCCCCGCTGCTCCCTTGCTCCCATGCCCCGCTGCTCCCTTGCTCCCATGCCCCGCTGCTCCCTTGCTCCCATGCCCCGCTGCTCCCTTGCTCCCATGCCCCGCTGCTCCCTTGCTCCCATGCCCCGCTGCTCCCTTGCTCCCATGCCCCGCTGCTCCCTTGCTCCCATGCCCCGCTGCTCCCTTGCTCCCATGCCCCGCTGCTCCCTTGCTCCCATGCCCCGCTGCTCCCTTGCTCCCATGCCCCGCTGCTCCCTTGCTCCCATGCCCCGCTGCTCCCTTGCTCCCATGCCCCGCTGCTCCCTTGCTCCCATGCCCCGCTGCTCCCTTGCTCCCATGCCCCGCTGCTCCCTTGCTCCCATGCCCCGCTGCTCCCTTGCTCCCATGCCCCGCTGCTCCCTTGCTCCCATGCCCCGCTGCTCCCTTGCTCCCATGCCCCGCTGCTCCCTTGCTCCCATGCCCCGCTGCTCCCTTGCTCCCATGCCCCGCTGCTCCCTTGCTCCCATGCCCCGCTGCTCCCTTGCTCCCATGCCCCGCTGCTCCCTTGCTCCCATGCCCCGCTGCTCCCTTGCTCCCATGCCCCGCTGCTCCCTTGCTCCCATGCCCCGCTGCTCCCTTGCTCCCATGCCCCGCTGCTCCCTTGCTCCCATGCCCCGCTGCTCCCTTGCTCCCATGCCCCGCTGCTCCCTTGCTCCCATGCCCCGCTGCTCCCTTGCTCCCATGCCCCGCTGCTCCCTTGCTCCCATGCCCCGCTGCTCCCTTGCTCCCATGCCCCGCTGCTCCCTTGCTCCCATGCCCCGCTGCTCCCTTGCTCCCATGCCCCGCTGCTCCCTTGCTCCCATGCCCCGCTGCTCCCTTGCTCCCATGCCCCGCTGCTCCCTTGCTCCCATGCCCCGCTGCTCCCTTGCTCCCATGCCCCGCTGCTCCCTTGCTCCCATGCCCCGCTGCTCCCTTGCGCTTATGCTCCCCTGTGCCCTGCCCACGCTTCCACTCTGCCTTCCCCCCAGCTTTCACTCCCCTTCCCCCCGCTGTTCCACTCCCCCTTCCTAAACCCCCATTGTCCTAAACCCCACGCTTCGAATGCAACATGCATTGCTGTTACACTCCCCTTCCCCGACGGGTCATCTCCCATTCCCCCACGGTAACACTCCCTTTCTCCCACGCTCCGCCTTCCTCCACGCTTTCACTCCCCTTCCCCCGCGCGGTCACTCCCCTTCCCCCACTGTTTCACTCCCCTTCCCCCACTGTTCCACTCCCCCCTCCCCCACGCTTCCAATGCAACATCCCCCACTGTTTCACTCCCTTTCCCCCACTGTTTCACTCCCCTTCCCTCACTATTTAGGTCCCCTTCCCCCACCCTTTCACTCCCCTTACCCCCAGCTTCCACTCCCCTTCCCCCACTAATCCACTCCTCTTCCCCCAGTGTTTCACTCCCCTTCCCCCACTGCCTCACTCCCCTCTCCCCACTGTTTCACTCCCCTTCCCCCACTGTTTCATCCCCCTTCCCCCACTGTTTCACTCCCCTTCCCCCACTGTTTCACTCCCCTTCTTCCAATGTGAGAGTGCAGGGAAGGGGAATGTGAGACTGCAGGGAAGGGGAATGTGACACTGCAGAGTAGGGGAATGTGTGAGTGCAGGGTAGGGAAATGTCTGAGTGCTTGGCCTACGACTGTGAGGTAATGCAGGCTATCGAAATGTCAGACCTGTAGTGATCGAGGGATGTGTGTTCGTAGTTCGATGTAATTGGGTACTTTTGGTATGGGAAGATTGAGGCTTGCTTAGTGGGAAGGTACGTGAGACCGCAAGGCAGAGCCATTTGGGCTCCCGTCCAGCGTTTTCATAACGCAGGTGCGTGACTGATGGGCGCAAGCAAACCTGCCAGCTAGAAGTAGCATGGGTCGCCCAACGCTATTGTGTTGATTACGCGTGAGAGTTTAGCCAAGGAGGCAGGGGCAAAATGGAGGCATCGTTCCTGGAACGTCGCACGGGGCGGCGTGCGATGTCACGGGTCGGCGCCGAATGTTGCCCGACATGGTTTTCCCCTACATCCCATTCGCGCAATGTCGTAGTTCCTGGCGTTCTGATCTCGCCGTGCTGTTTACGCCGATTTTCGCAATGCACGTTCCGCACGCGATGGAGCGTGTCCCGACAATGACGGCGTTGGTTACGGGCAACATGCGCGCTGTGTCTACCTTGACGCATTGCGTCGCGCTATGTGCTAGTGTACTCGCGATGCTTACGCGTCGCTCGGCCGCCATGTCGCACAGCAGCTTACCTGCACATGGCACTCGTGGGTCCCCCGACTGCCGCTCATTTGGCGACCCTGGGCTGAGTCGTGTGCTTGGCGTCTACGGCGCCGAACGTGACGCATTGTAGCGTGCGTCCCAGTATGCCAACACTCTTTTGCTGTGATGCTCGTAAAGGGACTTTGATAGGTCGCGTGTCGTGTTTGTCGCTTGGTCGCTGATGTGCGTGGGTTGCTGTGCTAAACGTGTGGGAGAAGGCGTGAAGACCTGAAGCCAGGGACAACCATAGTCTCATGTGCTACGCTGCTTGTTGTGCAGTTGCTTTTGTGAGTGAACTCGGTTGGGTGTGTATGCGACAAGTAGGGTTGGGCGTCAATCGCTTGGAAGTGTATTGCGCATCGCAAGGTTGGTATCTGTAATTCCAACCAAATCAACTTTTCGCTTTGAGTCACTGGGTAACCAATCTTGCCAAGTGCTTTGCAGTTGACCGGCCAACCTTTACTTGAGACCCCGGTTTTAAGTTGGATTAGGGCGCGTTCCTATGGAGACACTTGTGTCTCAACCCCCGTTTTCCCGAGTCGCGCCTGTAAATTTGCACAATGTTGTGTCTCAAACAACCAATGAATCTCGACTCTGAGCGACAGATGGGTCCAGCCAGATGGGTGCTTTCTATTGGTGGCTACCATTTGGATTAGACCCGCGGCTGTTTTCCCGCCGGGCATCCCAGTCCAGAAAAAGCCGGGGCGGGGGCTAGCCCAGGAAAAGGAAGTTGCAATTGGGTTACCCACCTCCGGTCATCTGTCTGCCCGGGCAGAGCGGTTATCTTTTCCCGCTCGAAAATTGCCCATTTCGAGAGTCCAGATGCATGCAGTACAGAGTGACATTTCGGGACGCGTGCGATTTTCGGGACGTGACGGGGCCTCGTGTAACTCGTCCGCGACACCACCGCAATTCCCGCCAACCAATGTAAAAAACAGTGTGGATCGCATTAGAGCGGTCCGCGATTGTGACACAGTACGTTTTATGCTGTTTTTCGGAGTCACAAAGGGTTTCAGACACAAGTGTCTCCACAGGAACGCACCCTTAGTCGAACACCATCGAAGCAACTTTGGTCAAGATCTGTAAGGACGTGTAACATTGCAGCGATACCCAAAATCCGACCATTTGGTCATGTTGGCCGATATGCGAGGGAAGTGGTAACAAACACCTGGGGAGTCCTATGTGGATTTAAGGTTGCGTGGTGGATTTAGGAATACCCACCCTTAAGTACCCCCGTATTTAAAATTTAAAGGTATAATCCCAATTTTAGCATTCGAACTGGGTGTGGAATATGGGGCACGAAAAGATGGTAGTTTTAAGCAACCTCATAGGCCTTTGCAAGACAAATTCGGGGACTACCACGTATTGCTAAACTATGGGTGTTGCCCCAAAATTTTCCGTGGGTGACTATCACGGCGGGAATGTTTTCGTAACCAAACCGGTCGCATGGTTTGGGCGTTTGCGGAATCGGTCGTTATCGTGGTCATTTGGCGGGAAAATCTCGCAGCTTTCGCCATCGTGTTACACACTTCGCATTCGCATGCCCCAACCAAATGGTCGGATTTTGGGGTTGGTCGTCGCAATGTTACACGCCCTAAAGACTTGCGTCATCGGGGTTCGACCTTTGAGAGGCTGTACAGTACAAGGCAGTTGAGAACGAAAAAGCGGTTACAGTTCGAACTTCGACAAGTTTCTCCAAAAGATACGCGCCCGAAAAATCGCCCGATCTTCCAATTCTGCCACATGGCTGCTACGAAAGTAGCAGAGTCGCGACCTTCGTAACATGTTCGCCGCATTCGCCAGTTCCGGCCACGAAATATGCGTGTGGGGGCCGAAAAGCACGGATGACACCAGAGGCTATGACGCAAGACAATGAAGGATGAACCAACCGGGATGGAATCCTGGTAGTAGAAGTACACACAGCGGGTCGCGTATCGCTTTCTACTTCCCTCGTCCCCGTCATGCCTCGAGTTCGTCCCGTCCTCCTCTTCCTCGCACTGCTGCTAATCTCCATCTCCGTCACCCTTCCCTTCCTCACCCTCCGCCTGCCGCCTCTCCATCTTCCCGCAGTCGCTCGCCGCGACCTCCGCCGTTTCTTCCGCTCGCCTTTTAAATCCCACCAGCACCCTTTCAATTCTCTTTCATACGAGCGTGTCGAACCTGAGGAGCCGTTTGAGGCTCGGCAAACCGAGCCTGTTAGAACCGAGCCGCCTTCGCACAGAGCCGTCAATTTGCTGAGCGATCCCGGACCAGGAAATGGCCGGCTCACGACTGGCGGGGATCACGGCGATCTTTACGGGAATGCGCAGCTGCTGGGAGAGCTGGGTTGTGTGGAGCTTCGGAGAAGGTTCCAGGAATTGGAACAGGCGATGACCGACCTTCAGGTGCGAGCGTTACTGCTGTTTTGAGACGTCTGAGAACAAACTTGCGATCATGTAGCAACCTTGAGTTTGCGAGGGTCTTGGCCTTTTAGCAACATTCTGCATGTCTTTCGAGTCAGACTCAGAAGTCACCTTGAGACTCAACAGTCACCTTGAGTCGAATCAGCGGTTCTGGGGAGTCTTGGTCTCTTAGCAACATTCTGCGTGTTTTCTAAAACGTGTCCGTTTCTCGCGGATCGTAACATTGCGTGTCGTGCTGTGTCGCACCGCAGAGCATGGCGCGTTCGTTCGTCCATCTTCATCACTAACTTCACCCACTTGCCGTTATTCAACACCAACACAAGTTGCCGTTATACGCCCAATCAAGAGGTTGCAAGTCTTGCGAATTTGCGGCTCCACCTCACGCATTCCGTTCCATTCCATGTTTTCCCCTTTTTCCGTTCCATTCCATGTTTTCCCCTTTTTCCGTTCCATTCCATGTTTTCCCCTTTTTCCGTTCCATTCCATGTTTTCCCCTTTTTCCGTTCCATTCCATGTTTTCCCCTTTTTCCGTTCCATTCCATGTTTTCCCCTTTTTCCGTTCCATTCCATGTTTTCCCCTTTTTCCGTTCCATGCCATGTTTTCCCCTTTTTCCTCATATTCCGTTTTCACAAGTCAGGCGAATTACTCGCAGCTGGTTCGGCAGCATTCAGCCCTCCAGTCCCGAGCCGCGCAGCAGCAACACACCATTGATTCACTGCAGATCCGATCAGCAAATGCCAGCTCGGCGAGAGGTCTAGCAATCTCCGCCGGATCAATTCTAAGACCGCATGATATTCGTGAAGCAACGGCGGACTTTGCAACCGCTTCTGAGCCGCACTCTTATAATGAACTTTCTGGTGCTGGGTCTGCTCAAGGCCCTACAGCGGCCAGAGGAGGAGTTTCCAGCACAGGTGCAAGCGGTGCGGTCACAGGGGCGTCAGAGTTGGCTGCCGAACCAAAATCTGACGAATCCGAAGCTGCAAGCTCAGGCTCGGCGGGGGGTGCGGAGGGTGAGTGCGAGAGTGCGTTGATGGCGTGCCAGCAGCAGCAGGAGCTGATGAAACTGGCCGGGGGAGGGGGGGAGGGCGGCGAGGGAGGAGATGGGGGAGCGGGAGACATGCTGCAGGAGCTGGCAGCCGGCATGAAGAGCCTTGAGGCGTCGTTCCGCCTTGCGCTGGTGAGTGCAGGGGCCAGTGCAATGGGGGAAGTGGGATGGGGGCAGTGGGACAAGGGCTGGCAGCAACAGACATTGGCAGGTATGGGTTCACGTTGGAGGCACTTAGGTCGCATCGCAGGGGCCATGAGGAGACTTGACAAGTCGTTCCGCCTGGCGCCGGTGAGCGGAGTGGAGGCACGGGGACAGTTGCACGGTATAAGCACACCTGTTAGGCCTGGGATGAATAATGCAAGGAACGGTTGAGAGGGGTGGAAGGGAGGAGCGTGGGGTGGAACGGGTGCAGTGCACAGTGAGCAGGGAGCCTGCAGCAACCACACCGGCTGGTGGCAGTAAGGGAACCAGGGGGTGCGCAGTGGTGTAGTGAGGTTGGAGGGCTGGAAACCGAATGTGGGCAGGTCAATGCCTCCAGAGGGAGAACTGCTTCCTTGCGTCCCTCTGTCTTGGTTGATTTATATCACCCTCCTTCACGCATGTGATTATGTTTGTGTGCGCTCGTGTGAATGCATTCGTGTGAATGAACAGTGGAAGGAAGAGCACTGTCAGGCCAACCAGAGCGCGCTGAGGTGGACCAATCAGATGCTCCGGCATGACGTCACCCACCTGAAGGCACAGCTGGCTGCGCGTGACAAGCGTGGGAGTCAGCACCTGAAAAAACACCTGAGGAAGCACCTGAAGCAGCAGTCAGGCTTTCTTGTAAATGTTTCTGAGACGTTGGATAGGAGAGTGGTTATGGGAAGCAGTGAGGAAGAGGAGGGAGGGAGCAGAAGCACCGGCAGGAGGACAAGGCGGGATGAGACAAGTGACGAAACTGGGAGTGCGGGCCAGAGGGGGGGAGAGGATGGCAGGCAGAGCGAGGGGCTGGAGGGGGAGGAAAGGGCGGATGGCGTGAGTGGGGATGCTCGTGGGGGCAGGAGAGGCGGGGAGGACGAGGGGTGGGAAGGTGGTGAAGATGAAGAGGGAAGCGGCGGTGAGGATGATGAGGGGAGCAGTGGTGGCATGGGTGAGAGCGCGCGCGCTCTGATGGCTTTGTGGGAGGCCACCCCCTCCCTGGCGCTGAGGGATGTGCGCAGTGGCGCTGTGCAGCGCTACCTCAGGCTGCTCAGGCATGCCGCAGGGGCACAGGGGGGAGAAAAGGTGGGGGAAGGGGGGACGAATGAGGGAGTGCAGCAAGCGAAGAGACAAGCAGTTGCTTTGGGTGAGGCAGGAGGGAGTGTGGGAGTGGCAGGGGAGGAGGCATGGTTGAGTGAGGAGGAGGAGGAGCAGCGGCTGGTGCCTGCAGCACCCCATGTGGACCACTGTGCCTCTCTCGCTACTGATATCAGGTCTGTAGGTGTGTGCATGGTTGCATGTGATTATATGCGAGTGGGTGTGTGCACGTGTGAACGTGCACATGGTTGAACGACATGATGGGGAGAGCTGTCATTCCCCACCTGCCGCCTTTTTCTCCTTGTTTTGCATTTCTTGTTTTCCACGGGCTTGAAAAGCCAGCAGATTGTGCCTGCCATGCCACCTCACCTCGCCCGCTGCACCTTGCTTCTCTCTCTTCCTCCAGCACTTGTTTCACTTTCACCAAGGGGTCGCCATTGGTCTCCCTCCCTTCTTTTCAGCCGCCTCACATCTTCAACTGCCCCCCTTAAGGCTTGCTCGATTCTCTCTTCTCCCCGAACTTCCCTCTGCAGCCTTCTGGATTCGCGGTCTGCTGATGGGGCGCTTCCTGATTGGTCGCTTTGGGGCGGCCGGTTGGGACTAGTGGCACGGCGTTTGGAGGAGCGGGAGAGGGAGAAGTTAAGGAGGGAGAGAGAGAGGGAAGGAGATGTGCGTGCAGACAAGGAAACACAGGAAGCAGGAGGCGGAGAGAGGATGGGAGAAGTAAATGGAGAGGAAGAGGAAGAGGGAAGGAAGGTGGAAGGTGCGGCAGCTGCGGCAGAGGCAGAGAGGCAGTTGGAGGCGGAGGAGCAGGCGCGGGCACTACAGCACGAGGCGATGCGGCTGCAGGCACAGGAGCGGATGGAGGAGCGGCAAGGGGCGAGCGACGAGCAGGCGGAGGTGGCGGCGTGGATGGCGGCAGCACGGGACGAGCAGCCCATGGGCGACCGCAGGGGGGCTGTCTTGGGGCCGTACCCCCCTTGGGTGAGTGACTGTCATGTCAGGTCATTGTGTGTAGCTTTTGAATCGACTCACAAAGTTCTCTCGAGTCGACTGAAAAGGCAGCACGGGATGAGCAGCCCATGGGCGACCGCCGTACGTGTCAGTTGCCTTGTGTTTAGCTGCTTTTATTTCTGTAGCTGCTGCTGTTTTTGAGCAGCTGAGCTTATTTTTGGCTCGCAGCATGGCACTCAGCGATAAGCCCCTGCACTACAGCACGGTCGACTCAGGGCGCAGTGCGGTGCAGGCATGGATACATGTCACCCGTCCATAAGAGATTGATCACCCTGCCCGGCCAAGAGTATCCTGCCTGCATCAGCACAGCAGCCCTAGCACAGCAACCCTAGCCCTCACCCTCTGCTCTGCACCCGCCTTTCCCTCCACCCCCCATGTATCAGGAGTGGACGAGGATAATCTCCCCTGGATGCGGCTGTCCCAGAGGGAAATTTCTAGATCGGCAACCCAACAACAGCAACAGCTCGATCTCTCTCCCTCTGTTTCTCATGCCCCACTCCCTCTACCCCCACCCCCCAGGTATGGAAGTGCAGCAGTTCCATTCATTTTCCCACATATCACGAGCAGATGAGGACAACCTGCCCATGACGCGGCGGGCGCAGTGGGACATGTGGGTGGTGCAGCACCCGCGGAACTGCAGTAGCTTGATCACTCACCCTCTGATATCCACGCCCCACCCCCTGTATCCCCTGTATCCCCTGTATCCCCTGTACACCCCAGGTATCAGGAGCGGACGAGGACAACCGTCCCATGACCCGGAGAGCGCAGAGAGACACGTGGGTGCTGCAGCACCCGTGGGACTACGCGCACCCGTGTGTCAAGTTCCAGGGTGATGCTTCACTCCCATTCCCTGTACCCCCTATCCTTCAGGTATCAGGAGCGGACGAGGACAACCTCCCTATGACGCGGCGGGCCCAGAGGGACATGTGGGCGCTGCAGCACCCGCGGGACTGCGCGCACCCGTGTGTCAGGTTCCTGGTTGTTGACGTGCTGAGGACGGTCCGCGGCCGCTTCTGAGTCGACTCAAAAGCAAGCCCATCCCCTGTACACCCCAGGTATCAGGAGCAGATGAGGACAACCTCCCCATGACCCGACGCGCCCAGAGGGACATCTGGTTGATGCAGCACCCGCGGGACTGCGCGCACCCGGCTGTCAAGTTCCTGGTTGTGGACGTGCTGAGGACGGTCCGCGGCCGCTTCCTGGGCGTGGGCGCGCAGGTGAACTGGCTGGCAGGCGTGCTGGGGACGGCTGTGGTGGAGGGGCGCGTGCTGGTGGTGCGGCATTATCACCGGGCGGCACATGATGGGTGTCATGGTGGGTTGCAGTAGCCAAGGGAGGGAGGAGAGCGTACGAAAAGGGGTGGGCAGTTGAGGGGCGCGTGCTGGTGAACTGGCTGGCGGGCGTGCTGGGGACGGCTGTGGTGGAGGGGCGCGTTATGGTGATCCGACACTACCATAGGGCGGTGCATGACGGGTGTGTTGGTGGGTGATTTACAGTGGAGTGTGAGTGTTGTGAGTGAGGGAGGGGATTCAATAAGGCATCGGTGGTGGAGGGGCGCGTGATGATGGTCAGGCACTACCATAGGGCGGCACACGATGGGTGTGATGATGGGTGATACCGTGGCAACAGTGATGGAAGGGATGGTAATGGATGGGCGTGTGCTGGTGATCAGGCCCTACTAGCACACGCCCACCCATTACTACTATAGGGCGGCACATGATGGGTGTGATGGTGGGTTGCAGTAACCAAGGGAGGGAGGAGAGTGTACGAAAAGTGATGGGTGGTGGTGGGCGCGTGCTGGTGATCCGACACAACCACCGGGCGGTGGGCTATGATGGATTTGACGCGCTCAGCGTTTTGACGCTCTTGACGTCCCCTGTCTGAGGGGTACCCCCAGTTTGACGCTCTGGCGGGCAGGCAAAAAACATTCCCGGGCAGGGGTAAAACAGCTGGGAACAGGGGGGTTAGTAAGAGAGGTTGGGGGTTGGGGGGGGTGGGGGAGCAGGAGATGCTATGTTGCGAAAGACGCAGGGCGCGTCATGCGTCCTGCGTCTGGACGCAGCGTCCGGACGCATGGACGCAGGACGCGCGTCCAGACGCAGGACGCACGGCGGTTTTTTTTTCGGGCTGACCGAAAAAAATCGATTGCGAATTTGACATTGACGATTTCGACGAATTATTCAAAGCTCGCTGGTTGGAGAAGGAAAGCTAGCAAATGAGGATTGAACATTGGGCGAGGGTCAAATTGAGATCTAGATCTGAGAAAGCCCCGCTCAGCCCAACTTCGAAATTGTTTGGGTTGGGTTTTCTAGATCCAGAGCGGTGGTATGTGGTCAAGAGACAAAAATTGGTTGGATTTTGGTTGCACAAAACGTGACGATTTTGTGTGGTGGGGAGTCAATTTTGGAGATCGATAAGTTAGGGTTGGTCGCGAATCTTCGAATTCTGTCACCTTGCAGAATCCGTCACTACTACTTTAGAGGACTCGATAATGCTTCTCTCAACTTCACACTACTACGCCATGGCTTCATGCCTAGATCTTCCTCTCTCCTATATCCTTGCGTTTATAGTGGATATTGGAGACGGATGCTTGTTCCCATGCCCTATAACAACTTTTTTTGGCTGCCCGGGGGTTTTTTTTTTGCCCTGCCCGGGCATGCGTCTTTTGTAGCGTCTCCCAGGCCCACATGAAGCGTCCTGCGTCTAAGACGCTGCGTCCGGACGCAACCGTCTAAGACGCAGGACGCGTCTTTCGCAACGTAGAGGAGATGTAGGACATGTGGGGCAGTCATGAAAAAAATAAGTACTCCAGAAATAAAAGCATGCATGTATCGAAGTTCGCCTCGTTCTTCATCAAATACATAGCACATAGGACAATTTTTTTCAGTTTCGGGCTGCCTGGGAAATTTTGGTCAGAGAGTCAAGCGTTTTGACGCTTTGACGCGTCAAACGTCAAAACGCCGCGTTTTGACGCTTGAAAATTTCTGAATCTGGCGTCAAATCCATCATAGGCGGTGGGTGTGTGGCGCACAGTGGTCAAAGGGAGGGTGAGAGCGGTGCGAGGAAGGGAGGGGTGTTGGAGGGGCGCGTTTTGGTGATTCAACACTACCATAGGGCAGCGCATGACGGGTGTGATGTGATGGTAGGTGACAATAGTGAAGCGAGGGAGGAGAGTATAGTAGGGAAAGGATGGGTGGTGGAGGAGCGAGTGTTGGTGGGTGACACTTACACAGGGCGGCGCATGATGGGTGCTATGGTGGTGGGTGACTCGCAGTGGTGGAAGGGAAGGTGAGAGTGGTGCGAGGGAAGGTGGCATGGTAAAGGGAAGGGTGTTGATGGTCTGTCTGGCATTATGACAGGGGGGAGGCAGGGATGTGTTACGGTGGGTGATTATAGTGAATGGAGCGTGACACTAGTGAGTGGAATGTGATAAGAGTGAAGAGGGGATGATAGAAGGGAAGGGAGGGTGACAGTATCACAAGATGCCAATATGACGGCCCCATGTGACATTAGCAAAGAGATGGTTTCTATTTGTTCCTTTACACTCTATTTGTCCACCCACGTGGCTCCCTCCCTCACACTCTCACCCTGCTTCGCCCCCCATCCTCGTACCCTGCATTCCTCGCATCCGCATCGCCCAATAGCGCGTCGACAGGTGTGCATCACGGCCGGTGGTCGTGCTACTTCGTGCCAGAGACCTCCCCTGAGTGCCGCCAGCAGGCTCTGCTCCTGCTGCACTCCGCCCGCCCCACCCATGCCCTCCAACCCACCTCCCCCAGCAATACCAGTGACAGTGGTGCTGCTGGTAGGGATGGTAGGGATGACAGCAGTGGGGGGGAGAGCAGTGGGGAGGAGTGGAGCAGGAGGAGGGTGACGGTATGGGAGGAGTATCTGGACCGCAATGTCACCAACTTCTTCACCATTACCTATCCCACGTAAGTGCCCTCAACGTGACCTCAAGTGCCCTCAACGATTCTTGAGTCGTCTGAAGATTTGTATCTTGGTGGATCGCAACGTCACCAACTTCTTCACCGGCGACTATCCCTCGTGATCTCACTCACACTGGTCGTGTGATGACTGGTATGGGACTGAGTGACCGTGCATGCAACCGTCGTACACTTTTCCTCCATGTCTCTCCGCGGTCCTAATGTGTTCCGTCAACGTCCACAACTGAGCAGGAGTGTGGTGTGGTTCATGCATGCACTATGTAGAAATGCCTTGTATGTTGGCTCGGCAGCCCTTCTTCTCACACACCAACTTGATCCTTCTGGATGGCTCTGCAGCATATGGGGTCAGCCATGGAAGCACATGCATCCGACGGTGGACGTGCATGGAAGGCTCATCCGATGGACAGCATTCAACCGCCACCGCTGGTGGTTCGCCCAGGTGTGGTTTCTGGCTGCTGTTGTTTTTGCCAATTGATTTCGCCAAGCGCTGCTTTTGCAGCATTTCCTATGTGCAGAAACTGCCCTTTATCATCCTTTTTCCACATGCGTTGAGCCATCCAAGTGTTCACAGCACATGCTTGCATTCTCTTTCCATGCTTGCATTCTCTTTCCATGCTTGCATTCTCTTTCCATGCTTGCATTCTCTTTCCATGCTTGCATGTCATGTTCCGATGACTGTACTTGCCATCTCTTTCCTTCTAGTCTTCTTTTCTTGCTGAAGACTTAGTGATGTCTCCGTTTTCCCTCTCCCCTCTCCCTCTCTCCTCCTCTCTTCTTCGCGCCTCTACCTCTCCTCTCTCCCTTTCCTACTCTGCCCCTCCTCTTCTCCCCATCACCCTCCCCATACCACCAGGCTGCCACCTACCTCATGCGCTACCCCTCCCCTCGTCTCTGCCTGCTCCTCAATCGCGCCCGCCACCACGCTTTTGGCCCTGGCCTCGCCGCCCGGGCAGCCCACTTCTTGCCCGCCGATTGGCCGAAAACCGTCGAGCAGCTGCCCGAACTCACCTCTCAAAACACCCTGGGCAGCGAGGGGAAAATCGAGGACATCTGGCGGGCAGCGAGTGGAGGCGCAGGCGGCACAGGGGCACTGGCAGGAGCGGGAGGGTACCGAGCAGCAGGGGGGTATTTGCCAGAGGGGCTGGTGGCGGTGCATGTGAGGCAGGGGGACAAGGCGGGCGAGATGGCGATTGCAGGGGTGGAGGTGTATGTTGCGCTGCTTGGAAGGGTGAGACGCCAGTTCCCCTACGCGGACTCGGTGTGGCTCAGCACTGAAATGCAGGTGTGTGGGTGCGGGTGAGTGGGAGAGAAAAGTGTGAGTGAGTGAGTGGGTGAGTGTGAGTGGGGAAGTGGGAGAGTGGGTGAGTGAGAGAGCGTGTGTGTTTGGGTGAGTGGGTGTGTGTCTGAGCATATGAGCATGGTTGAGCCCAGAGATGCACATCAGCACAGAATCGCAACTCGCCAACCCCACCGCACCCCACCCTATCCCGACGCACCTCTCTCCCTCTCTCCCGTGCACTTCATGCGTTCATGGCGGCACACCAATCACACCCCCTATCCCTCCACCCACACATTCTTCCTGCTGTGGGTTTCCCCGTCAGCACCCTATCCCAAAGAACTCAACTCCCCAATCCAACAATCCCTTCCTCCATTCCATTCCCATCTGCAATGCCGCCCTATAAGTCGACTTAAAAACCTTCCCCTGTTCCATCTCCATCAACCCTTTTTTTTTAACCCCTGCCTCCTCTACCCTTCATCCCCTGCCTCCTCTTCCTCTCAACCCCTGCCTCCTCTTCCCCTCAACCCCTGCCTCCTCTACCCTTCAACCCCTGCCTCCTCTTCCTCTCAACCCCTGCCTCCTCTTCCCCTCAACCCCTGCCTCCTCTACCCTTCAACCCCTGCCTCCTCTTCCTCTCAACCCCTGCCTCCTCTTCCCCTCAACCCCTGCCTCCTCTTCCCCTCAACCCCTGCCTCCTCTTCCTCTCAACCCCTGCCTCCTCTTCCCCTCAACCCCTGCCTCCTCTTCCTCTCAACCCCTGCCTCCTCTTCCCCTCAACCCCTGCCTCCTCTTCCCCTCAACCCCTGCCTCCTCTTCCCCTCAACCCCTGCCTCCTCTTCCCCTCAACCCCTGCCTCCTCTTCCCCTCAACCCCTGCCTCCTCTTCCCCTCAACCCCTGCCTCCTCTTCCCCTCAACCCCTGCCTCCTCTTCCTCTCAACCCCTGCCTCCTCTTCCCCTCAACCCCTGCCTCCTCTTCCTCTCAACCCCTGCCTCCTCTTCCCCTCAACCCCTGCCTCCTCTTCCTCTCAACCCCTGCCTCCTCTTCCCCTCAACCCCTGCCTCCTCTTCCCCTCAACCCCTGCCTCCTCTTCCCCTCAACCCCTGCCTCCTCTTCCCCTCAACCCCTGCCTCCTCTTCCCCTCAACCCCTGCCTCCTCTTCCCCTCAACCCCTGCCTCCTCTTCCCCTCAACCCCTGCCTCCTCTTCCTCTCAACCCCTGCCTCCTCTTCCCCTCAACCCCTGCCTCCTCTTCCTCTCAACCCCTGCCTCCTCTTCCCCTCAACCCCTGCCTCCTCTTCCTCTCAACCCCTGCCTCCTCTTCCTCTCAACCCCTGCCTCCTCCTCCCCTCAACCCCTGCCTCCTCTTCCTCTCAACCCCTGCCTCCTCTTCCCCTCAACCCCTGCCCTCTCTTCCTCTCAACCCCTGCCTCCTCTTCCCCTCAACCCCTGCCTCCTCTTCCTCTCAACCCCTGCCTCCTCTTCCCCTCAACCCCTGCCTCCTCTTCCCCTCAACCCCTGCCTCCTCTTCCTCTCAACCCCTGCCTCCTCTTCCCCTCAACCCCTGACTCCTCTTCCCCTCAACCCCTGCCTCCTCTTCCCCTCAACCCCTGCCTCCTCTTCCCCTCAACCCCTGCCTCCTCTTCCCCTCAACCCCTGCCTCCTCTTCCTTTCAACCCCTGCCTCCTCCTCCCCTCAACCCCTGCCTCCTCTTCCTCTCAACCCCTGCCTCCTCTTCCCCTCAACCCCTGCCTCCTCTTCCCCTCAACCCCTGCCTCCTCTTCCTCTCAACCCCTGCCTCCTCTTCCCCTCAACCCCTGCCTCCTCTTCCCCTCAACCCCTGCCTCCTCTTCCTCTCAACCCCTGCCTCCTCTTCCCCTCAACCCCTGCCTCCTCTTCCCCTCAACCCCTGCCTCCTCTTCCCCTCAACCCCTGCCTCCTCTTCCTCTCAACCCCTGCCTCCTCTTCCTCTCAACCCCTGCCTCCTCTTCCCCTCAACCCCTGCCTCCTCTTCCCCTCAACCCCTGCCTCCTCTTCCCCTCAACCCCTGCCTCCTCTTCCTCTCAACCCCTGCCTCCTCTTCCCCTCAACCCCTGCCTCCTCTTCCCCTCAACCCCTGCCTCCTCTTCCTCTCAACCCCTGCCTCCTCTTCCCCTCAACCCCTGCCTCCTCTTCCCCTCAACCCCTGCCTCCTCTTCCCCTCAACCCCTGCCTCCTCTTCCCCTCAACCCCTGCCTCCTCACCCCCTGATTCCTCCGCCCAACACAGGCAGTGGCACACGCGGCCAAGCAGCACACGCGCTGGCGCTTCCGCACCACCGATTTGCCCCGGCAGGCAGTGGGCGAGTCCATGGATGCATACGACACACGCGTGGGGGAGCAGCGCGCCACCGACAACGCTCTCGTGAACCTCCTCATCTGCGCCGATGCGGCTTTGTTCGTGGGCACATTGGGGTCCACGTGGTCCGTGTTGATCGATAATCCTCTACAACCAACTTGTGCCAACCCTGCCTCTACCTCCCCTTCCGCCTCCCCTTCCGCCTCCCCTTCCGCCTCCCCTACCGCCTGCTCCCCACACAGGCTGTAGTGGACGCCGCCAAGCAGTACACGCGCTGGCGATTTCATGTCACTGACTTCCCCAGGCAGGCTGCCGGCGAGACCATGGATGCGTATGACGCGCGCGTGGGGGAGCAGCGCGCCACCGACAACGCCCTCGTGAACCTCCTCGTCTCCGCCGATGCGCCTTTCTTTGTGGGCACCATGGGGTCCACTTGGTCCGTGCTCATTGATAACCTCAGGGGGGCAGGGCGGGGCAAGGCGCGTGTAGGCATGCTGAGTGTGAACCGGGACCGGTACTGGTTCGGGGAGTCGTGGGAGGTGTGGCGGGACTTGTACAGGAATATCACCATGTAGGACGAAGTCTGAAGGTTTGTGTGCATTGTGGTTTACTCGGCAGATGTCAAGCATCACAATGAAATACATATTGGGACAACATAGGTACCATAGTATGGACAGAGGCCACCCCGGAAATTGTCTTGAAGGGGACATATCGAAAGTTAGCCAATACGGTACAGTACATCACATTGAGTGAAAGTTTGACACAAATACCTACACAAAATCAAGATTCACATTGGCAAAAAAGCTGGTTTGAGGAAACCAGGCTCTATGGCTCAACTGCTTCGGATTTAGGCTAACTGATGATATAAAACCTCCCAATTTCAGTTATTGAAGGATAAACTGTATTTTCAAGTTTCCATTTCTTTCTTAAAACCCAGTGTTTTTGTTCGAATGAAAAGTTTCTATCGGGTGCGAACCTGGACTAGGGGTCTGGCACATCGACTAAGAGGGGTCCACCCCGCGCCCCCAAATTCCGTTGTTGTGAGCCCTTGCAAAACCAGTGATAAATCTCGATTCAGCTCTGAACCCTCTTATGTTCACGTGCAGACTCAGTTACAGCCTCGCCCGTGTTTTCTCAAGAGGCTCTCCTCGTCCACCTCCCTGTCCCATCGACCGTCCGCGCAGGAGAGTCGCCATGGCGGAAGCCGCGGTGAGTGCAGATCCAATGCCTGTTGAGCCAATGCCAGGATGGTTGCATTGCTTGTAATTGCGGAACCTCCGCATTGTCTTCCCCTGTAGCCAGTTTCGCCATGTAATCATGTTTACCGGGTTCAATACGTACCGCACGTTCTTAACCCCCTTCTTTTCCGTGTGCTGGCGTGGCAGGGCGGCAAGTACGCGGGGGAGGCGCAGGGCACGGCGCGCGCCAACATGGACACGGTGATGAAGGGATGGTTCTCGGAAGTCAGCCCCATGTGGCCAGGTGCGCGCTTCTGACGTCATTATGCTGCAATGATGACGTCAATCACTCGGCCCTCGCATGCGGTACCGCCAACCTGGACACGCGTTGATTTGAGCGACGCGCCGCTGAGTTTCTGATGAATGGACACTGCACGTCCGTCCATCCTGCTGCGTGCTCTCCGCGTCAATTGTCGTCACACTGTCATCGTCACACATTCGTCTCAGGGTTTTAGTCTCCGCAATAATACTTCATCCCTACCTGCAGCAGCTGCATCGCTCTCTCGTAGCACTTTCAGCGTCTGTTCGACAAACACCAGCTCTTTCGTTAAACCCGAAGCACTTTCGCGCTCTCCGTGTGCCTCGGTATGTGTGGGCTTGTGCGCGCAGGAGAGGCGCATTCTCTGAAGATCGACAAGGTTTTATTTGAGGGCAAGTCCGACTTCCAAGACGTTGCCATCTTCCAGGTCCGACACCGTTCCATTGTCCGTCTAGCCGTTACGCTGTAACCCCGATCCACATTGTAACCAGTTTATTTCCGAGCCGTTTTTGTCGGAATTGCGTGCGAAAGAATGGAGATTAGAATCGAGAGCGAGGTTGCCCTAGCGAGGGTGCCCTAGCGAGGGTGCCCTAGTGAGGATGCCCTAGTGAGGACATTCATTCGCCAGTCGCGGGGTTGGCGGTTCGAGTTGTAGGATTTAGTGTTGGACCGGAGCGTGTTACCAGTGTGCGTGGTGTTGAGATGGAGTGAGGAAAAAAGGTGACTATGGGACGCCATTGACTAAAGCCAGCTGCTTTCGTATCCGCTTGTTTCACTCCCTCATATCGTCCTCCTTTTCCTCTCCGCAACTCCCCCTTCTCCCGGATGCCACCTCCCCCAGTCGGAGACGTACGGCAAGGTGTTGGTGCTGGACGGCGTGATCCAGCTCACGGAGCGCGACGAGTGCGCGTATCAGGAGATGATCACGCACGTGCCGCTCTGCTCCATCCCCAACCCCAAAAAGGTGCCGTACCTCGTGCCTTTCTCGTGCCTTCCAAGCCTGTGATGCTGTCTATGCCGTTTGTGCAATTCCAGTCCTGCTTATAGCCTTACACCTATCGATGCGTGCATGATACATAGGTCATTAGTAATAGAATTTCAATAATCCGGTTTCCTGATTCATATCTGCTTGCTTTCTTCCACGGCTTGCGCGCGGAGCAGGTGCTGGTGGTGGGCGGCGGCGACGGCGGGGTGTTGAGGGAGGTGTCGCGGCACGTGGGGGTGGAGCAGATCGATATCGTTGAGATCGACGGCATGGTCATTGATGTGAGTCACAGCAGATGGGCACTAACGTGACTTGATCTGCTGATTCAGTGACTCTTCTGCCCTCACTCTCTCATGCCAGCTCTTGTGCAACGGTGCAACCCCTGATGCTCCTTTCTTTTCCTCATCGCTTGGAGCCTTATCCCGAGAGCCTGAGGGTCTGTCCTCGGCTCCACACATGGGCAGTGCAGCTGATGAACTTACGAACGAATAACTGTGCATGCAGGAACAACCGCCTGATTTCAGCTGATGATCACACCCGATCTGATGCCCATGCTCCATTCCCTATGATCTGCTTTCAATGCCCATGCCCTGTCTCATGCACAATTCCCTCTGCGCTGTTCTTTACACCTTTTTTCTGTGTCTCTGTAAAACGGAGGAAATATTTGTAAACATGGGCAGCTGATTATAAAAACTATGCATGCAGGATCAACCGCCTGACTCCAGCTGATGATCACATCCATCCGATCTGATGCCCATGTTCCTCTCCACTCCCTGTCCGCACATTGTTCTGTTCTCCATGCTCGATGCTCGATCCACAATTTCCTCTGCACCGTTCTTTACACCTCTTTGCTGTGTGATTCTGTCAACTCGAGGAATGATTTCTTCTCATGGGCAGCTGATGATTTAAGACTTAAGTATGCATGCAGGATCAACCACCTGACTCCAGCTGATGATTACATTCAATCTGATGCCCATGCTCCACTGCCTAAGGCCCATCTGTATTCTTCATGTGTGATGCTCTCCACTCACAATATATTCTCTCTGCTGTGTGATCCTACTGACTGTAGTAACCATTTTCTGTTTCTTTCCGGGCAGCTGACGAATTCAATACAGTAATGCATGCAGGATCAACCGCCTGACTCCAGCTGATGATCAAACCTCCGCTGATGCCCATTCTCTCTAGGTCCCTTCCTGTGTCTTTTTCACTGAGTCTTTTTTCTCTGCTTCTTTTTCCTGTGTCTTTTTTTGCTTGCTGCGTGTCCTGGGAGGCTCAAAAGCTCTTATTCTCTTCCCACACATGCACGCACATGGGCAGCTGATGATTTCAATAATAACTATGCAAGCAGGATCAACCGCCTGATTTCATCTGATGATCACACCCGATCTGATGCTCAAATTTCATGCGCCTCCATGCCCTGTGCCCCATTCCATGTGCCTCCTAACCCGCAGTTCACCCCCTTTCCCCAATTGCCACGCCTCAGGGTCCATCATTCCACTCCCATTGCACGTCCGTCCTTGCGATTTCTCAAAAGAACCTTCCCCTCTCCTCCCCGCGCCCCTGCCCACCCCCTCTTGTGCCCCCACACCCCTGCGCGCCCCCCAGGTGTCCAAGGAGCACTTCCCAGCGGTGGCCATTGGCTACAAGGACCCGCGCGTCAACGTCACTGTGGGCGACGGTAAGCACTGGCGGTGACGGCTGTGTGCATGCATGCTGCAGGATAGTGTGTGTGTGGGCTTCTTGTGAAGGATCAAGGTGAAGGATCAAGGTGAAGGATCAAGGTGAAGGATCAAGGTGAAGGATCAAGGTGAAGGATCAAGGTGTCATGGTGTGTTTGCTTCGCCCATTGGCTACTAGGACCAGCGCGACAATGTCACTGTGGGCCACAGTGAGTGACCCTCTGGCACTGCTGCATACATGCACGTTGCAGCACTGTGTGTGCAACGCGCGTGCGTGTGTGACCATCTTATAGAGCATCAGTGCTTAGTGTGTGTGGTTCAGTGTGAGCATCAGAAGTATGTGTACATCTCATCTCCTTTCCATTTCCCCGTCTCCTCACCCACTCTTGGACCCAATCGCATCTCGCCCTTCTTGCCACCCCTCTCATCCCCAGCTCCTTGCCTCCTCTTCCTTCCTACTCTTCCTCCTCCCTGTTGCAATCTCGACCCTTGTTGCTCCTCGTGCCACGCCACCATTCCTTCTTGCCTGCATCCATGATATCCTCTCCAACCACTTCCTTATGCTCAAGCTCTTTCTCTTCCCCGTGCATGCAATGCGCTGCAGGAGTGGCGTTCCTCAAGGCAGTGCCAGAGGGCACGTACGACGCCATCATCGTTGACTCCTCTGATCCCATCGGTACGCCACTCCCCTTGCGTTCTGCTCCCCTCCTGCTCACCCCCATCCTTCATCGCCCGCCCGCCCACTCCCCTCTCGCATTCTGCAACCCCATCTGGAGTGCCGAAATGGCCCGACTCTTGCACGCCAGCATTGTGTTTGGTTCTGCAACTCTCACATCACTTTGCCACACATTCGTTTCACTAGGACAGCCAGCTCTCTTCATCCCAAAGGTGTGCTCTCACCTCCGTTACTCTAGCCAGCGCTGTTCCAAAGCTCCCTTTGCCAATTCTGCCTGTCCCCCATCCCCAGGCCCAGCGCAGCAGCTACCTGAGTGGAAAACCTTCTTTCATTCCGGTACCATCTGGAAATTCCTTAGCACTTCTGACCCCGCATTCCGCACCCTTCCTCCCCTTCTCCTCTTCCCTCTTCCCCTCTCCCCCCTCAAATCCCACAGGCCCCGCGCAGCAGCTGTTTGAGAGGCCCTTCTTTGAGTCGATGGCACGCGCGGTGCGGCCAGGGGGCGTGGTGTGCACGCAGGCAGAGTCGCTGTGGCTGCACCTGCCCATCATCAAGGACATTGCCCTCGCCTGCCACCATGCCTTTAAGGGCTCTGTTAACTATGCCTGGACCAGCGTCCCCACCTACCCCAGGTGAGACCAGCGTCCCCACCTACCCCAGGTGAGACCAGCGTCCCCACCTACCCCAGGTGCGGCACAGTGACGTGATTAGGGCTTTTACGTTGCCTGGGTCTGGTTGGGATGGATGGTTCGACACTTGGGGATGGGAGAGTTTGTCGTTAATTGAGGGTTCTATTCGACCTGGTGGTTTTTTCATCCGTTCATTTGTTTTCTTTTTGTTTGTACTGAGTTTGTTCCTCCTGTCCTTGCATTCTGGTTGCTTGCAGTGGCACGATTGGCTTCATGGTCTGCTCCACACCCGGTCCAGAGGTGAACTTCAAGGTGCCATGCAACAGAATTGAGGACCAGCCTGAACGGCCTGACCACCTGCCCAAGTTGCCGCCCCTCAAGTACTACAATTCTCAAGTAAGTTCTTGTTATGGAACATAGCCTACTTATTTTCTTGCTCTGTTGCTTTAGCTCCATCCATCAGCACACTTGTTTTCATGGAGCTTACACCTAATTTTTGTTTCCTTGTCCTGTACTTGCAGGTCCATTCTGCTGCCTTTGTTCTCCCACAATTCGCCAAGGAGGCTCTTGAGCCCCACCTCACTAAGTAATGCTAGAAACGTCCAAGAGAATGAATAGCTGTGAAATAATTGAGAACGACTTGCCGTAGTAGTAATTGAATAAAGTTTTGCTCCGTATGTTAGTGGCCCATATTTTCCAGCACACATAACATGGTACTTACATAACCATTCCTGGCATCTGTACAAGAAAGTGCACAGCTCGAGCAAGCATCAACTGTCGGTCTTCGTTTGCGTCTCGTCTTCGTCTTCATCGTGTTCTTCGACGGACGGCCTTGTTCATCCTCAGTCGCAATTTGACTGACAGATTGACGGCAACGCGGAAAAAAAGAATCTTCAAACAGGATTCACCAACAATGGACGACATCATGCACCGCATTCCACCGTGGCATCAATCAGAGCCTTGGGAACTCCAAGCGCGCTGCAAAAGTGACGGAGGGAGGGAGAGGGGGCGCGCCAGTCGGGCCTCAAAAAGGCTGACTGAAAACCGAACCCGAAAACGCGAGACCGACAGAAGCTTCATTCAGAAACGAAAGCGGAAAAGCAGTTGATTGCAGCTAAAGCAGCACGGAGCTGCGCCAACGCGCGGTAGGCAGCAGCAAGACTATCCTACCCCGCACCCAAATCTCCGCCAGAATTCCTGCAGCCATTCTGCGCCAACAAATCTCCAACTCTCTTGTAGTCTGAGAGAGGTAGATATATACCAGCACAACAAATCTCTGGCTTCAACCCTTCAGATTTAGCTCTCTATTTCCTTCTCCTCCGCCATGGTTCTGCTTTGAGCAAGATATGGAAAATGGAGCATCAGACGGTCCCGACGACGACCCCTCACGGCACGTACATGCCTTTAGTAGCGCGCAGCAACAGCGAGGATCGTCGTTCAACGCTACTGCTCTCGATGGTCCCGCCACGCTTGCGTCTTTTCCCGCCGTCGTCGGCGCGACAGCTGACTCCGGTGCGTCGTCGGAGCGCAACGCGTTTCACAAGCCGTCTGTTCAGTCCGCTAGAAATAAAAAGGCTTATCATGGAAACGAGGCTGGTGGTAAGCGTGTCTCGGTAACACGCGTTGCGTGACCTTCCAAGTCCATTCCAGTGACGTGGCGCGGCTCAGTGCAGCGCTCTCGTCAGCACGTCCCTTGGACTCGATTCCTGACGTCAAGTCGTCGTATCGCATTTGAGTCTCTCCGTCGACCATCTCTTCTCCTCGTTCCGCCGTGCTGTCCTCGCGTCCGACCGTAAGACTGCCGCATCCAGAGATTATGAGACTATCGCGGCGCGTGAGCCCGTGAAAACCGTCCGAAATATGTCGGAATCCCGTGACAGCCTGCACTCGCATCCACACGCGACGTGATGAGGAGGAGGAACAAATCACAGCATATCAGCAAAGGGATCTTTCGCGGGCCTGGCGCGTGTTCTCTAATGTGTGCCCTTATGCGCTCACAATCATGCAGCTCGCTGGGCCATAAGCCACAATGCCCGTTGTTACGTGGTAACCCTCTTTTAGCCACGTGTCAGCGAGTCCGCGAGTGAGCCAGGCGCGATTGTTCTCTCGAATCCGCGCTGTCCTTCCCTTGCTGCTGCTGCAGAATTGTTGGTTGGCAGGCATTCGATCTGCGCTCTGCCAAGTCTAACCATCTCGATCCTCGTCTTCCCTGCTGTTATCGGATGCTGTTCCGCATTAATGCCATCTCTCTTCCCTCTTGTCCTCTATCTTGTCGTTTCTCTCTGCTTTCGCCATCTGCTCTCGTCTCCTCTTATCTCGTGCGCAGGTGCAGTGGGAGCACCTTCCACGCTCACACGCCACTTCAAGCGCAGGACGAAAAAATCCTCTTGTCATATTTCTCTCTGCTCTTGTCTCGGTTCTCTCTCTCTCAATTAGCGAGTCCGTGTATTAGATCCGAGCGAGTACAGACATGCACGAGGGTATCTAAAACATGCTTTCAGCTTCTACCCCCCCCCCCCCCCCTCTCTCTCTCTCTCTCTCTCTCTCTCTCTCTCTCTCTCTCTCTCTCTCTCCTCTCTCTCTCTCTCTCTCTCTCTCTCTCTCTCTCTCTCTCTCTCTCTCTCTCTCTCTCTCTTCTCGTCACTTGTCTCTTGTGCGCAGGCGCGGTAAGTGAGAGCACCTTCCATGGTCACAGTCACACGCCAGCACACGTGCAGGAGCTGTCGTCCTTGGCTCTCCAACAGCTGCAGCAACAGCTGTACCAGCAGCAGCAGGATCAGCAGCAGCAGCAGCAGCAGCAGTGGCAGCAGCAGCAGCAAGCACAGCAACATCAGCCGCAGCTGCAGCAGCAGCAGCAGCAACAGCAACAGCAACAACAACAGCAACAGCAGCTACAGCTGCAGCAGCAACGGCAGCAACACGGAGTGCAAGCACAGAATCCAGTCGCATCACAAGATGACTTCACATCATCACGCCCACACAATGTAGGCCCTGTAGCCACCCTCTCTTCACCGCAAGCCACGGCAGAGGAAGAGCGACTGGGGACTGAATCCCCCAAGAGAGAGTGTTTGGATCCAGCGCCTGCATCTACTGCTCGTAGGGCATCGTCCCCAGCCGTGCCACCACAACCTGGCATCGCAGCACCAGCTCCTGCTTCTCTCGCCTCTTCTCTCGCCAACACGCCTCCTGCTGCAATTCCTACTGCTGTGGCGGCTGGTGGAGCAGCAGCAGCTGCTGCTGCTGCTGACCGGGGTTGGTGGTGGTGAATGGGTAGTGCCACACACCACCAGTGCGCATCAGCACATACTGCCACCACACGGGCCGGTGCAGCAAGGCACACTGCTGCGCCAAGCGGTGCAAATTGGTTCCCCTCGAAATCCTTGTTGTAGGGATCCCTCTTTTTCAGCAGATGCTCCATCTGCTGCTCCATCTCTCTCTGCGTGTGCTGGCACTTGTGTTTCTCCATTGGATCCCTCTGTGAGCCTCTCACCTCCTCGCCGAAATGCGTCACCGCACCAGGCGTGCTTGACACAGCCTTTGGTTCCAGCATTGGCAGCCACGTCAGCAGAAGGGGGAGCAGCGAGTGCGCATGCTGCTGCTGCCACATGTGCAGTGGGCTACAGTGGCTTGTCCAGTGCTATTGTGCCAGCAGGGCCTGTCGTTGCATCTGCTCTGTATGCCACTCAGTGCACTGGCCCGCCTGCCACTTGTTCACCTGTTACCAGTCCTCCTGCTAAGTGTGGTGCACGTCTGGTTACGAGTCCTGTTACGAGTCCAGTATCAAATCCTGTTACAAGCCCCATTTCAAATCCTGCAACGAAGGACGTCACAAGTAGGGTAGCAGCAGGCCATGCGGGAACAACAAGCACAGGCCAGCAGCAGGGCGCACTGACGGGAGGTGCGGCGCCCCAGCTTATAACCTCTTTCACTGCAGCACCAGCAGTGGGAACAGGAGCTATGGCAAGTGCAGGAACGAAATTGTCACCCGCGAGAGCAGCAGGCGCAGGGGCAGCAGGCAGCAGCGCACAGCACCCTGCAGCTGCAGCAGTAGGCGCAGGAGGAGGCGTAGGCGGCGGAGGTGCGGCAGAGAGTGCATCACAGTTGTCAGAAGCACTGGCAGCCGCAGCAGCAGGCGGGGGCGGAGGGGCAGTGGGAGCAGGGGGTGCGCAGCTGTCAGCAGCGTTGGCAGCAGCGGGGGGCAGCAATGCTCAGCTATCGGCTGCACTGGCGGGCCTCACGGGGGCTGGCAGAGGTGCTGCCTCCAATGAACCCCGTCTTAGGGACGTGCTCAGCGACCCCCTCACGTGAGTGCAGTTCTTCTGTTGCATGTGGGCGCTGTTGCATGTGGGCGCTGTTGCATGTGGGCGCTGTTGCATGTGGGCGCTGTTGCATGTGGGCGCTGTTGCATGTGGGCACTGTTGCATGTGGGCACTGTTGCATGTGGCCGCTGTTGCATGTGGGCACTGTTGCATGTGGGCGCTGTTGCATGTGGGCACTGTTGCATGTGGGCGCTGTTGCATGTGGGCACTGTTGCATGTGGGCACTGTTGCATGTGGGCGCTGTTGCATGTGGGCACTGTTGCATGTGGGCACTGTTGCATGTGGGCGCTGTTGCATGTGGGCACTGTTGCATGTGGGCACTGTTGCATGTGGGCACTGTTGCATGTGGGCACTGTTGCATGTGGGCACTGTTGCATGTGGGCACTGTTGCATGTGGGCACTGTTGCATGTGGGCGCTGTTGCATGTGGGCACTGTTGCATTTGGGCGCTGTTGCATGTGAGCGCTGTTGCATGTGGGCACTGTTGCATTTGGGCGCTGTTGCATGTGAGCGCTGTTGCATGTGGGCGCTGTTGCATGTGGGCGCTGTTGCATGTGAGCGCTGTTGCATGTGGGCGCTGTTGCATGTGGGCGCTGTTGCATGTGAGCGCTGTTGCATGTGGGCGCTGTTGCATGTGGGCGCTGTTGCATGTGGGCACTGTTGCATTTGGGCGCTGTTGCATGTGAGCGCTGTTGCATGTGGGCGCTGTTGCATGTGGGCGCTGTTGCATGTGAGCGCTGTTGCATGTGGGCGCTGTTGCATGTGGGCGCTGTTGCATGTGGGCGCTGTTGCATGTGGGCGCTGTTTCGTTTCATGTGAGCGCTGTTGCATGTGGGCGCTGTTGCATGTGAGCGCTGTTTCATGTGAGCGCTGTTTCATGTGAGCGCTGTTTCATGTGAGCGCCGATTCATGTGAGCGCTGTTGCATGTGGGCGCCGATTCATGTGAGCGCCGTTTCATGTTGGCGCCGTTTCATGTGAGCGCCGATTCATTGGGCGCAGGTATCTCACGAGGGCAATCCGAATGCTTTGCAAGCTTTTTCAGATGGGCAGCAATTTTCTGACCTGTTGTGTGGATTTGTGTGTATGTGTGTGTGTGTGTGTGTGTGTGTGTGTGTGTGTGTGTGTGTGTGTTTTCATATGTGTGTGTGTGTGTGTGTGCGCGCGCGCGCTGTCTGTGTGCATGGGCGTGATGTGTGCATGCTACGGTATGTGTGTATCCCCATGCGTGCATACAGGGGTCGATTGCTTGACGACGCTGTGGTGGGGTGCTGCGGCCATTCTTTTGGAGGGGCAACGCTGGCTGTTGTGCGGGAATCAGTGAGCACGCAGCCATCCTCCACCTTCCTTCCACCCTCCATCCTCCACCTTCCTTCCACCCTCCATCCTCCACCTTCCTTCCACCCTCCATCCTCCACCTTGTTCCACTCCTCTCCACAATCACTTTTCAACTACTCGTCCGCGCGCCATACCTCGTGCTTTTCTTTCCTGCCTTCTCTCGCTTGGTCCGCCTTTCCTGCCCCCAAACTCTCCCACTCCCATTTTCGCCCCCTCAGACATCGTGCCCTGAGCGTGGGGTGCACATCCACTTCCACCCTGCTGTCTTCTCAACACAGTCCCTCCCCTCTCCCCCCTCGCCCCCCACAGAGCACGTGTCCCGAGTGTGGCGCGCGCATAGGCGCCGCCATGCTCACCCCCAACCTCACTCTGCGTGCCGCCGTCGCCGCCTTCCGCCGCGACTCCAGCTCCCTTGCTGCCGCCGCCATGGCTGCTGCTGCCGCTGCCGCTGCCCAGGTAGATTGCCTAGCAAGCCCAGGCAAGTTGCCTGGTGAAGTTAGACGGGTAGTTTTGTTGTGAGGTATGTGCACGATGTGATGGTGGCATGGCAGTGAGTGGACTTGTTTCCTCACGGTTCCCTCTACTCTCTCTCACTCCTCCCTGCTTTCCCCCACTGTTCCGCCTCCCTCTTTTCCCCCCGCCAATTCAACCCATCCTCCAGCTATCCGCGGACACGCCCACCCACGCGCACCACCACGCCTCCTCAGCCTCACAGCACTCCCCGTCGCTCTCGTTTGCTGTTGCCGCTGCCGCCGCCGCAGCCACAGCAGCCGGGTCCCCACCAGCAGCGGCCATGGGGGGGCGAGGGGGGGCATCCCTCCTCGCCTCCTTCGCCGCTTCCGCCTCTCCCGCTGCCTCCAAGCCCGCCGCCGCGCTCCAAACCCTGCCTGGGCCGGCCCGAACCAGCTACACCCCTCCAGGCTCGGTCACCGCCGCCAGCCTCCAAGCCTCAACCGAGGCTGCCCAACCAGGCACACAGCAACCCGCCCATCCCGCACCAGTTCGACCAGTCCGGTCCTCCAGCACGGCCCAATTCCCGTTCAGGGTGAACGACGTGGTACTGATCAAGGGCAACAAGCGCACGCCGGAGCACTTCATAGGGCGCAAGGCCATCATTACGACGCAGTGCCTCAACGGCTGGTACATGGTGAGGACGCTTGATGGCGCCGCTGATGAGGTGCGCCTGCAGTACCGGTCCCTGGAAAAAATCCACGCTGCTGGTGCTGCTGGGGGGGGAGGGGCAGGGGGGAGTGCAGGGGGAGGAGGAGCGGATGGGGTTGGTGCTGGTGGGGTTGCGGCGGGGAGTGTGGTGACTGGTGCGGGGGGAGGAGGGACCGGGGGAGGGGGGAGAGGAGGGGTGGGTGGAGGAGAGGGGGAGAGTCATCGGCTGCTGCCGCCAGCGGGGGTGCCCAAGGGGCGAGGGGCGGGGCATGGTGGAGCGCGCAGGGAGACCAAAGCCAGTGAGTGCTGCTCTGCTCTGCTCTGTGTGAATCCTTCTGCACCGTACCCAACCGTTGCTGTAGTAGCTTCCTTCCCAAATCCTTTGTCAGCATGTACCACATGTGCTAAACCCTGCTGCTTGCTGCATATGCATATAGCCGCTATCTCCACACCACTGCCTTCCCCCTGCCTCTCCCCAACCCTACCTTCCCCCTTTTCCTAAACCCATCCGCCTGTTTTAAATAACCTTTCAACTCCCACAACCCAAACCCCAACCCCAACCCTAACCCCAACCCCAACCCCCCCTTCTCCTACCCCCCTCTTCCCCCCGCGCCCCTTCCGTATATCCTCTCCCTCCCCCGTGTCCGTGTCCCTGTCTGCCAACTCTCCACCCGGTCCCTCCTTCTCGCTGCAGTGGGGCGGGGCAGGGGTGGACGGGGAGCAGGGAGGGCGGCAATGAATGCGTCGCCCATCAGCACGCCTGCCTCGCTCTGTGGCAGCCTCTCCACGCCCAACGCCTCCCTCTGGACTGGTGCGCCAGTCCTTCCCCCACCTTCCCCCCGCCTCTTGTCCGTCTAGCGCGTACCTCCTGTCTTGCTCTCTTTCACACACACCCCCAACCCCCCCCCCCAGCCACCCGCTCCCTCCCTCCTCCGCTGCTCCTGTGTTGCTCGCTCCTCTCTGCCATGTGCCTGAGTTCTTCCCTTGATAGGATTTTCTGTGGCCTTTGGACAATCAACCTCTCAATATCAAAATTGCCATGTATGTGATGTGAACCGATAGCCTTCCTTATACACCCCAACCCAACCAATGCTGTTCCTCTCTATCATTCCTATTCAGCTAGAAGGTCATGCTTCTTCAACTTCCCTCCTCGCGCCACGTTCCGCCTGCACTGCCCCCGTTCACAGGGTCGGTGGCAGGTTCGGCAGCAGCGTCGGATGCAGCGGGGGGAGCATCACGGTCAGTGTCGGTGTCGGGGGACTTTGGCATGTGCAGCGGGCCGGCAGGGGAGGTGGAGCAGGGCGCCATGTCCACCACTCCCAGAAGCGGCAGCGGCACCTCCCATGTCACCCGCATGTCCCATGCCGCCCCCATGCCGCACATGCCTCATGTGTCCCACATGCATGGTGTTGCTGGTGCTATGGTTGGGAATGCACCGCACACTAGCATGTCAACGCCGCATCACGCCATGCCATCTGCCCACCACAGCTCATCAACAGCTCCACAGAGCACGGTGGTTTATCCGACGGCCAGCAGCGCGCCCACCACGCCTGCATCCATTGGCCGTGCTGCCATGCCTGTGCCTGCAAGCCCAGGCTCGGCCGTGCCTGCCAGTCCTGGTCCGGCCGTACCTGCAAGTCCAGGCTCGGTGGGGCGAGTGCAGCGAGGGCTGAGTGTGCAGGCGAGCCCAGGCTCGGCAACATTCCGGCCCTTGTTTCAGACAGGAAGGGGGTATGCTGCGCAGAGAACCGATCCTGGAGGAGGTTCGGTAGTGGACGGGGCGGCAGGTGCATCAGGGGTAGCAGGAGGCAGAGACGAGGGGTGTGCTGCGATGGGCGAAGGGACAGGGCTGACGGGGTCAGTGCAGGCAGCCGGATTTGGTGCTCCACAGGTGGTGAGCTCAGCAGAAATTGAGATGTCGGCAGCAGGAGCAGCAGCAGGTGGTGGTGTAGCAGCAGGGGCGGATGGGACAGCAGGGCAGGGGCATTCCCTAGTAATGGGCGGTCAGAGGCCACCTGATGGGGTTCTGAGGAGTGAAGGGTTCAGGCAGCAAGTGGATGTGCAGACTACAGGGCAGTGTATGGTGCTGCAGCCTGTAGGTCAGCAGGGTCAAATGGGTCAACAGGGTCAAATGGGTCAACAGGGTCAAATGGGGCAGCAGGGTCGAATGGGGCAGCAGGGTCAAATGGGCCAGCAGGGTCAAATGGGGCAGCAGGGTCAAATGAGTCAACAGGGTCACATGGGGCAGCAGGGTCAAACAGGTCAGATGGGGCAGCAGGGCCAGCAGGGTCAAATGGATCAAATGAGTCAGCTTGTCCTTCAAGAACAGAGCCAACCATTCAATCAACCTGGTCAACCAAGTCAACGAGGCCAAGCGAGTCAAGGCTATGTGCTGCCAGGTCAGCAGCAATGGAGCACAGCACAGGGGCCAGGGCCGCGGCAAGGAGGAGGGGCAGGGGGCATGATTCAGAGCCCGTTGAGCGTGGGTGCAGGGCAAGGTGGTTCGGTGGTTTGTCAGGCAGGGATGATGCCCAGCCAGGGCGGCATGGCAGAGAGTGAGGGGCGTGGGATGGCAGGGCAGGGGGGAGCAGCGCAGCAGGTGATGGGGAGGCAGCAGCACAGCTGCGCGCCAGAAGGCTTCATCCCTGCTGCCGGTGACATGCTGCCTGCAGCTCCCAGCTATGTAAGCTGCCACGCTGTCACTCACCTGCCATGCTCTCACCTGCCATGCTCTCACCTGCCATGCTCTCACCTGCCATGCTCTCACCTGCCATGCTCTCACCTGCCATGCTCTCACCTGCCATGTTGTGAACCCAGCTCAGCTGCTTCTCCAGCTTCTTCGGCACCTCTCCCATGTGCTGCTCTCTTGACGTGCCGCCCTCTGCCTCCTGCTACCCTGTCTCACCCTATTCTTTCACTCCCTTGCTTCCTCTCCCCTCATCTACCTCTTTGCTCCTCGCCTTTTATGCCTTGTCTTGCTAATCTGCCCTCTCCCCACCCCTCTCCCCACCCCTCTCCCCATCCCTCTCTTGCTCTCGCATCTCCCCTGCAGGGCGCTGGGTTCACAAGCAGCAGCGGAGCACACCTCCTTCCTTTGCCCTCCACACAGAGCCTTGCCGCCCAGCAGATCATGGCAGCCACACAGCAGCAGCAGCAGCAGCAGCAGCAGCAGCAGCAGCAGAATGTGCTGTCTTCTCAGCACAGTCTGTTGCAGCAGCAGCAGCAACAACAGCAGCAACAACAGCAGCAACAACAGCAGCAACAGCAACAATGGTGTGTTTGGGAGCGAGCACATGCTGGAGGCGCAGCAGCAGAGGCAGCGGGTGCAGTGGCGGGCGGCAGCAGAGGCGGAGGTGGAAAGGAGCTCTGGGGTGCGCCGTGCCCTCCACTCTGCCTGCACACCAGCGCCCCAGGACTCACAGGGGCAGGGGCAGGGGCAGGGGCAGGGGCAGGGGCAGGGGCAAGTTCAGGAGGTGATGCAGGTGCGCAGTCAGGTGGTGAGCCCCCCGCCTGGTGTTTTAAGCCCGCCAGGCAGCATGGTCATGGGGGGTGCGTTCCTTGATGCTGTGAGCCCGTCGTTTGGCGTTGTGAAGCACGAGGGGCAATGGGTGGAAGGATTCTCCCTGGGCCAGCACGACCAGCAGCAGCAGCAACAGCAAGTGCAGCATCAACAGCAAATAGAGCAGCAGAAGCAGCAACAACAATTTGCAGCACAAGATGTGAAGCCGTCCATGTATGCACCTAAAGTTGCAAGCAGGGAAGGCAGCTGCAGCATGGGCAGCAACAAGGGCCTGGGCACCGCCGTCTGCTTTGACTCCCAGAATGGCGCAGACAACAACAACAAGAGGTCGGGAAACGGGTGTGCCCCCCCTACAGTAGTAGCACCAGTATCACCGCCACAGGCACCACAGGCATCGCTGGAAGCAACAACGAGCCTTCTTCCCTCCCAGGCGAGCAGGTTGCAATCTCAGACGCAGCAGCAGCAGCAGCAGCAGCAGATGCAATGTGCTTTGCAGGGGGCGGAGAGGGTGACTACAACGAGGCCTTTGGGTGTGACTATGGTGAAATCGGGCTCGAGGATTTGTCACGTGGGGGGGGCGACCTTGACAGCGGCGGACTGGATTGGTTCGACCAGTTCTGACAAGCAAGGGAGGGGCGGTGGGCTGCCTGCTGCAGCCATGCTGGATGCGTGCCCACCGGATGTGGTAGGAAATGGTGCTTTCGAGGATAGGCATCTTGTTGAGAGCTCAAAAAGAACTCTTATAAGCAGTACAGGCGTGTTGCATGCATGCCCATTTAATGTGGTAGGAGGTGCTGCTTTGGGCGATGAGCAGCTGGGGTTTTATGGAGTGAAGCCCGTGAATGGAGGCCAGCAGTGCACGCGTTGCAGCATGCCACATGGCAGCATCCTATTGGATGAAGCATGGGCGGCTGCCTGTATTGGATCAGTTGGAGAAGGAGCAGCATCAGTAGCAGTGCCTGCAGTAGCAGTGCCTGCAGGAGCGGCAGAAGTAGCAGCAGTTGAAGCAGCAGCACCAGCAATAACCGCAGCACCAGCAGTAGCCGTAGCAGCAGCAGCAGTAGCAGCAGGCTGTGTGCTGGCGCAGCAGTTCCCAGGTCGTCGTCTGCCATCAGCCACAGCCAGAGCACTTTTCACAGACTCGCCTTCCTCCCCGCATGCGCCCTCACCAGCCCCTGCTGCATGCCTTGCCCGTCCCAATAGAGCCGCCGTTGCTGCCAGTGGTGCTGCCAGTGGTGCTGCTGGTACTGCCACTGCTGCCGGTGCTACTGCTAGTGTTGCACCTGTCACCGTTGCAGCTGCCAGCATTGCAAGCGCCATGAAGGCTGCTTGTGGAGCTGGTGCAGGGCCTTGGGTGGCGGCCAGTGCCCGCGATGCTGCCCGTGGTGATGCTGCTGCCAAGCATGCCATGACAGAAGCTAGTGTTGTGGAGAATGGTGCTGATGCTCCTGATATTTACGCCAATGGGGTCGATGCTGATGCTCCTGACGCTGCTCCTAATGCTGCTCCTAATGCTGCTCCTAATGCTGCTCCTGATGCTGCTCCTGATGCTGCACCTGATGCTGCACCTGATGCTGCTCTTCATACTGCTCCTGATGCGCATGCATCAGTGCATGCTGCGAGTTTCAACACACACTCGGTATCTGACCCTTTGCTGAGTGCGACAGCAGATGAGGCAGGGGCAGGTGGAATGGAAGAGAGGGAAGAGAGGGGAGAAAAAGAAGTGGCAGGGCCAGGGGCAGGTGCAATGGCAAAGCGGAGAGACGGAGAAGAGGAAGTGGGAGGGGAAGGGGAGGAAGGGGGGAAGGGAGAATTGGGAGGAGAAGAGGAGGTGAGAGGGGAAGGGGAAGAAGGGGGCGAAGGGGGCGGACAGAAGAAACAGGGGGAGCGGGAAGGGGGATCAGATGCGGGCGAGGGGGATAGGGGAAGTGGAGAGGAGGGACGTGGAGGTAATAAGAATGGCGGGACGGGCGAGGAGGGCGGTGAGTGGGGTGGAGGTGGAGAGGGGGGAGGTGGGGAAGGGGGAGGTGGAGAGGGGGGAGGCGAGGATGGGGAGAAGGGAGGAGATAACTGGGGAGATGGTGATAGGGGAGATGAGGGGGAGGATGATGAGGGGGAGGATGATGAGGGGGAGGATGATGAGGGGGAGGATGATGAGGGGGAGGATGATGAGGGGGAGGATGATGAGGGAGAGGATGATGAGGGGGAGGATGATGAGGGAGAGGATGATGAGGGGAGGATGATGAGGGAGAGGATGATGAGGGGGAGGATGATGAGGGAGAGGATGATGAGGGAGAGGATGATGAGGGAGAGGATGATGAGGGAGAGGATGATGAGGGAGAGGATGATGAGGGAGAGGAGACGGAAGAAGAAGGGGAGGAGGAAGCAGAAGGGGAGGAGGAAGGTGAAGGGGAAGAGAAAGAAGCAGGAAGAGAGGAGGGTGGGGCTGAAGGGGCAGAGAAAGAAGCAGGAAGAGAGGAGGGTGGGGCTGAAGGGGCAGAGAAAGAAGCAGGAAGAGAGGAGGAGGGTTGGGCTGAAGGGGCAGCAGCTGTGGTGGCTGGGGCAGAGAGGAGCAGGACAGCAGGGGAGCGCAGTGGGGGAGGGGAGGTGAACGTCAGCGTCAGGCGGCTTGAAGCTGCGTGTATCGGCCAGCAGGCGGGCCGTGTGGGCTCAACCCTCTGTTCCGACACACAGGCCGTGGCTGTGCCATCACAAGGGGCGGTGCCATCACAAGGGGCGATGATGCTATTACCAGGGGCGACCCCATGGCACGGCAGCAAGGCAGGGGAGGTCACGGACAGCAGCAGCACTGCGTCCGCGTCCCCCAAAGTGAGTCATCTCACCAATGTATGCTGGTCCTCTTGCAAGTCGCTGCACCCCACGTCCTCCTTCCTCCACCCCCTGCCCTCATCCTCCCAACCCCTCCCCTTCCCCCATCCCCTGCCCTCAGTCCCCATCCCATGCTCTGCTTCCCCCACCCCCTCCCCTCCTTCTCCCGCCCCTGGTTAGGTTAGTCAGCCATCACCCCTGCTTTCATAACCCCTGCTTTCATAACCCCTGCTTTCATAACCCCTGCTTTCATCACTCCAACCAACTTTTTTCGCTTATGGCCATGACCCTTGCCCGTTGAGTCAACTCTGAGGTCATTTCATATGGCCCCACGTCCTGCCTAAATCAGAGCTCAGGATCTTCTCAGGAGGAAGAACCCTGTGCCAAATCCATTTTCCCTGGAACACTGTGTTGGTGCCATGTTGTTGTCAGTGCGTCGCAGCACCTTGGGTTGGACACACCTATGTAGGTTCATGAGCTCTTTGTAAGCAGGAAAAGTGCGTAAAAGTTGTGAGATGTCCCGACCCAACCCAAACCATCTCAACCCAACCATCCCCTGCATGCACAGATCACGCAGATCACGGCGCTGGACCTTCTGAGGAGAAAGAGCCCCGCGCCCCCATCCATCTTCTGCCCACCCGAGCCTCCACTGCCCGCACCTCCACCAGCTGCAAGCGCACCAGCTGCACCCGCACCGGTTGCACATGCAGCACTGGCAGCAGCAGCAGTAGCAGCGGCTCTTTCAGCAACTCCACTGTCGTCAGCCACACTCGCATCGGCACCGCCAGCTGCACCCGCAGTGCCAGCTGCACCAGCTGCAGTTGCAGTGCAGTCCGCACCAGCAGCAGTATCTCCAGCAGTGCGTGGTGCAGATGCTACAGGAGTGGGTGGGGGAGAGGATGCATTGTCGGCAGGCGGGCATGAGGAGGCGTTGGTGGGAGAGGGGCGTGAGGAGGAAAGAATGATGGGAGAATTCGAGCAGGGGAATGAAGGGAAGGAGGAGGGAATCGAGGAGGGAAATGATGAGGGTGTGAGACAAGGGGAAAAAGGCGAGGGGGTGAATGAGGAAGAGGAGGAAGAGGGCTTGCCTGGGATGGAGAGTGCGAGTCAGTGTGGGGTTAGCACACAAGTGGTACGGCCTGGAAGCATGGCTGCGAGTGCACGTGGTGGTGGTGGGGATGGGGATGGGGATGGGGATGGGGATGGGGATGGGGATGGGGATGGTGATGGTGATGGGGATATTGATGGTGATGGTGATATTGATGCTGGTGATGATGGGAATAATGGAACGGAGATGGACGTGAGAGTGCTGGTACCCCAGGCGCAAATGAGTGCTGATGGCGGTGCGGGCGGGGTCACTATGGCTGGCATAGGCACTGCTGCTGCTGGCGTCACTGGTTCTGACACGCATGAAGGGAATTCGGTGCTTGAAGAGAGGGATTTGGGAAGAGAGGGTTCGAGAGGCGGAGAGGGAGGGGTGGTGGGGCGGGGAGGGCCAAGCACGTCTTTGGAGGGGCGTTCAGTGGAGAGAGAGGAGCGGGAGGGCGAGCACTTGCAGCAGGAAGCAGAGCAGGACCAGATGCAGGGCCAGATGCAGGGCCAGATGCAGGGACAGGAGCAGGAGTGGCAAAGAGCGAGTGCGCTTGCCGACTCCAATACGAATGCTGGTGCTGATAATGATGGCAGAGGCGCTGGCATTGCTGCCAGGCGTGGTGGTGAGAGTGACGGCACAGGTGCTGGTGCTGCCATGGTTGCAGGGGCTGCGCCCACAGGGCAGCGCAAGGTGGGAGGGAGGGAGGGAGGAGGGACGAGGAGGGAGGGTGGTGGTGAGGATAGTGTGGGTGGCACGGGTGGGCAGGATGAGCAGGAGAAGGGGGGCGACACGGGAGGGGCGTGTGAGCAGGATGGCGTGTGTGAGAGGGAAGGGGGAGAGGAACAAGAGGTGGGAGCGAAAGCGGAGGGCAACAGTTGTGTTGAGGAGCTGGAGGTGGTGGAGGGAGAGGTGGAGGAGGGGTCAGACAAGGGGGGTGGAGGGGATGGGGTGCTGTTTGTAGGGGTAGGAGGGATTGGAGGAGGGGGAGGGGATGTGGAGGCAGGGGTAGGGGTAGCGGAGGCAGTGGAGGAAGTGGGGAGGGGGAGGAGGGGGAGGAGGAGGGGAGGGGGGTGGGGGGGGAGGGCGAGGAGGAGAGAAGCAGAGGGGGCTCGTTGCTCCGAGGGCAGGTGGCCGGCGCACGGTGCGTTGAATGTGTGGGCACTGGAGGGCGGGAAGGAAGGGGGAGAAAGGGGGAACGGAAGATTGTGGGGATATACATGTGTGTGCGTTTGGGTGCGGGTGTGTGTGGGGGGTTGTGTAAGTGTGGGCGTGTGTGGGTGAGTGTGTGTACATTTGGGTGTGGGCGTGTGTGGATGGGTGTGTGGATGGGTGTGTGGATGTGTGCTTCACTTGTTCACGTCACCACCATCCCGCATACACCCACCCCTTTTCTGCTTCCACATCTACCACCTTCCCTGCAGGAGCAGCAGCAGGAGCAGCAGGATCAGTGGCAGGAGCAGCAGCAGCAGCAACAGGAGAAGGGCGAGCGGGGGCACAGCGCAGCATTGGCTGGCAGTGCTGCACCGGCAGCTGCACCCAGCAGTGTGCCTGCTGCTGCAGAAGCCATGGCAGCACATGGGCTGAGGTCAGCAGGTAGCAGGGGAGGCAGGGGGCGGCGAAGGAGGGCGTGGGGTGGGGAGATGGAGGAGGTGGGGGCAGATGAGAAGTGCGTGGATAGAGGAGGACTGCTGGGCGGGGAGGGAAGTGGTGTGTGGAGCGAAGAGAGGGGTGTGGGCAGGAGGAGGGGGAGGCGGAGGAAGAACGAGAGAGTGAAGGATGACGAATACTTCTGGGGCTCGGTCGATGCTGCAGATGGGGGGGAGCAAGGGGGGGAAGAGGAGGAGGCTGAGGACGAGGAAGAGGAAGAGGAGTATGAAGAAGAGGAGGAAGAGGAGGAGGAAGAGGAGTATGAGGAAAAGGAAGAAGTCGAGGAGGAGGAAGAGTTAGTTACTTTGGAAGACGGTGAGGGTGAGGGCATAGAGCGACGGGGGCTGTATGGAGACGAAAGGGACGCGGCAGGCAGTGAGATGGGTGTGGGCGAGGTGGACCAAGGGAGGGACACAGACATTCAGCACAATCCGAGGCTCAGGGATGTGGGACAGCGGAGGAGAGGGCATGGTTGTGAAGAGGTGAGCCAGCAGAGCAGAGGGAGAGGGGGCGTTGATGCTGCAGGTGTGGCTGTGGAGACTTCTGGAGGGCGACGGGTGGGAGGAGGAGGTGGAGAGAGAGAACGACAGAGGGATGTGGTTCGGCAGGTTCGGCGCGACATGGCTCGGTTGGAGGCTCGGATTCCGTGGCTCGGGGTCAGGTCCGGGTGGAGGAATCGAAGGTCGGCGTGGCGGAGGGCGGTTAGAGACAGCTGTAGCGCTCTGGTTGGTCCCTTACTCTCTCCCCTTTCTATTCTTCCTTCTTCCTTTGTGCAAGTCCTTCTCTTCCTTTGTGCAAGTCCTTCTCTTCCTTTGTGCAAGTCCTTCTCTTCCTTTGTGCAAGTCCTTCTCTTCCTTTGTGCAAGTCTTTCTCTTTTGTTGTGCCTTTGCCGAGTCCATGCGTAAGCCTGGACTCGTTGCTCTCGCTTTTTACCTGTTAAACACAAGTCATGCCAACCTCTTCCTTTACCCCTGTTTTGGTACCCGTTTTGAGCGTTTCGGTTTGTCATGCACTAACATTCTCCCAGTATCCCATCCACTCCCCGCACTCACTCCTCCTGAGTGCACCAGATTACAACTCCCTGCATTGCCACGAGGACCGCCTTTCTTTGGACAGCTTCTTATGCATCTGTTGCTGCCATCGCCTGCTGCTCTGTTGACCGCTGTTGAGGTGCCCCACAGTACGCTTGTGAAACTTTACCTCACCTCACCTGACCGCACTACTTTATGCTCCCCCCAACCGCACTGGGCAGGAGTTGGTGCATCGGCTGGACGAGTTCCGCTCGCACTTGCTGCTGCACCACGCTGCTCTCCTCTCCGACCACCACTGGGCCCTCCGTGTTGCCGCCGCCTCTGCTGCCGCTGCCACGGCCTCTTCTGCTCCCACTACTGCTGCTCCTGCTGCTTCTCCTGCTGCCCCTGCCCTTACCACTGCCTCTTCTGCTCCAACTGCTGCTACCAGTGCCGTTGCCCCTGCCGCTGCTGCCTCCACTGCTGTCGCCTCTGCTGCCGCTGCTCCTGCGTCTGCTCCTGGTGGGGATGACATTCGTGAAGCCAGCTTTGGTGCCACCTCTGCTGCTGCCGAGGACACCAACTCTGCTGGTGCTGACGTGGCAGGACGGCGTGCTGCCACCTGTCACGGCATACTGTTGGAGCTCTGGACACGTCTGCATGATGACGTCAGCAAGTGGCTTGAGGCTCGGCCCAAAGAGGCTGTTGGGAACGTGTGAGTTGCTGGCATGATGGCATGGTGGCATGGTGGCATGGTGGCATGGTGGCATGGTGGCATGGTGGCATGGTGGCATGGTGGCATGGTGGCATGGTGGCATGGTGGCATGGTGGCATGGTGGCATGGTGGCATGGTGGCATGGTGGCATGGTGGCATGGTGGCATGGTGGCATGGTGGCATGGTGGCAGGCTGGCATGCTGGCATGGTGGCATGCTGGCATGCTGGCATGCTGGCATGCTGGCATGGTGGCATGGTGGCATGGTGGCATGGTGGCATGGTGGCATAATGGCATGGTGGCATGGTGGCATGGTGGCATGGTGGCATGGTGGCATGGTGGCATGGTGGCATGGTGGCATGGTGGCATGGTGGCATGGTGGCATGGTGGCATGGTGGCATGGTGGCATGGTGGCATGGTGGCATGCTGGCATACTGGAATGGTGGCATGGTGGCATGATGGCATGCTGGCATGCTGGCATGATGGCATGGTGGCATGGTGGCATGGTGGCATGGTGGCATGGTGGCATGGTGGCATGGTGGCATGGTGGCATGGTGGCATGGTGGCAGGCTGGCATGCTGGCATGCTGGCATGCTGGCAGGCTGGCATGCTGGCATGGTGGCATGCTGGCATGCTGGCATGCTGGCATGCTGGCATGGTGGCATGGTGGCATGATGGCATGCTGGCATAATGGCATGGTGGCATGGTGGCATGGTGGCATGGTGGCATGGTGGCATGGTGGCATGGTGGCATGGTGGCATGGTGGCATGGTGGCATGGTGGCATGGTGGCATGGTGGCATGGTGGCATGGTGGCATGGTGGCATGGTGGCATGGTGGCATGCTGGCATTGTGGCATGCTGGCATGGTGGCATGCTGGCATGGTGGCATGGTGGCATGCTGGCATGGTAGCATGGTGGCATGCTGGCATGCTGCCATGCTGCCATGGTGGTATGCTGGAATGGTGGCATGCTGGCATGGTGGCATGGTGGCATGCTGGCATGCTGGCATGCTGGCATGCTGGCATGGTGGCATGGTGGCATGATGGCAGGCTGGCATGCTGGCATGCTGGCATGCTGGCAGGCTGGCATGCTGGCATGGTGGCATGCTGGCATGCTGGCATGCTGGCATGCTGGCATGCTGGCATGCTGGCATGCTGGCATGCTGGCATGCTGGCATGCTGGCATGGTGGCATGGTGGCATGGTGGTATGATGGCAGGCTGGCATGCTGGCATGCTGGCATGCTGGCAGGCTGGCATGCTGGCAGGCTGGCATGCTGGCATGCTGGCATGCTGGCATGGTGGCATGGTGGCATGGTGGCATGGTGGCATGGTGGCATGGTGGCATGGTGGCATGGTGGCATGGTGGCATGGTGGCATGGTGGCATGGTGGCATGGTGGCATGGTGGCATGGTGGCATGGTGGCATGGTGGCATGGTGGCATGGTGGCATGGTGGCATGGTGGCATGGTGGCATGGTGGCATGGTGGCATGGTGGCATGGTGGCATGGTGGCATGGTGGCATGGTGGCATGGTGGCATGGTGGCATGGTGGCAGGCTGGCATGCTGGCATGCTGGCATGGTGGCATGCTGGCATGCTGGCATGCTGGCATGGTGGCATGGTGGCATGGTGGCATGGTGGCATGGTGGCATGGTGGCATGGTGGCATGGTGGCATGGTGGCATGGTGGCATGGTGGCATGGTGGCATGGTGGCATGGTGGCATGGTGGCATGGTGGCATGGTGGCATGCTGGCTTACTGGCATGGTGGCATGGTGGCATGATGGCATGCTGGCATGGTCGCATGATGGCATGGTGGCATGGTGGCATGGTGGCATGGTGGCAGGCTGGCATGCTGGCATGGTGGCATGGTGGCATGCTGGCATGCTGGCATGCTGGCATGGTGGCATGGTGGCATGGTGGCATGGTGGCATGGTGGCATAATGGCATGGTGGCATGGTGGCATGATGGCATGGTGGCATGGTGGCATGGTGGCATGGTGGCATGGTGGCATGGTGGCATGGTGGCATGGTGGCATGGTGGCATGGTGGCAGGCTGGCATGCTGGCATGGTGGCATGGTGGCATGCTGGCATGCTGGCATGCTGGCATGCTGGCATGGTGGCATGGTGGCATGATGGCATGCTGGCATAATGGCATGGTGGCATGGTGGCATGGTGGCATGGTGGCATGGTGGCATGGTGGCATGGTGGCATGGTGGCATGGTGGCATGGTGGCATGGTGGCATGGTGGCATGGTGGCATGGTGGCATGGTGGCATGGTGGCATGGTGGCATGCTGGCTTACTGGCATGGTGGCATGGTGGCATGATGGCATGCTGGCATGGTCGCATGATGGCATGGTGGCATGGTGGCATGGTGGCATGGTGGCATGGTGGCATGGTGGCATGGTGGCATGGTGGCATGGTGGCATGGTGGCAGGCTGGCATGCTGGCATGCTGGCATGCTGGCAGGCTGGCATGCTGGCATGGTGGCATGCTGGCATGCTGGCATGCTGGCATGGTGGCATGGTGGCATGGTGGCATGGTGGCATGGTGGCATAATGGCATGGTGGCATGGTGGCATGGTGGCATGGTGGCATGGTGGCATGGTGGCATGGTGGCATGGTGGCATGGTGGCATGGTGGCATGGTGGCATGGTGGCATGGTGGCATGGTGGCATGGTGGCATGGTGGCATGGTGGCATGGTGGCATGCTGGCATTGTGGCATGCTGGCATGGTGGCATGCTGGCATGGTGGCATGGTGGCATGCTGGCATGGTGGCATGGTGGCATGGTGGCATGGTGGCATGCTGCCATGCTGCCATGGTGGTATGCTGGCATGGTGGCATGCTGGCATGGTGGCATGGTGGCATGGTGGCATGGTGGCATGGTGGCATGGTGGCATGGTGGCATGGTGGCATGGTGGCATGGTGGCAGGCTGGCATGCTGGCATGCTGGCATGCTGGCAGGCTGGCATGCTGGCATGGTGGCATGCTGGCATGCTGGCATGCTGGCATGCTGGCATGGTGGCATGCTGGCATGCTGGCATGCTGGCATGGTGGCATGGTGGCATGGTGGCATGGTGGCAGGCTGGCATGCTGGCATGGTGGCATGCTGGCATGCTGGCATGCTGGCATGGTGGCATGGTGGCATGGTGGCATGGTGGCATGGTGGCATAATGGCATGGTGGCATGGTGGCATGGTGGCATGGTGGCATGGTGGCATGGTGGCATGGTGGCATGGTGGCATGGTGGCATGGTGGCATGGTGGCATGGTGGCATGGTGGCATGGTGGCATGGTGGCATGGTGGCATGGTGGCATGGTGGCATGCTGGCATTGTGGCATGCTGGCATGCTGGCATGCTGGCATGGTGGCATGCTGGCATGCTGGCATGGTAGCATGGTGGCATGCTGGCATGCTGCCATGCTGCCATGGTGGTATGCTGGCATGGTGGCATGGTGGCATGGTGGCATGGTGGCAGGCTGGCATGCTGGCATGCTGGCATGCTGGCATGCTGGCAGGCTGGCATGCTGGCATGGTGGCATGCTGGCATGCTGGCATGCTGGCATGCTGGCATGCTGGCATGCTGGCATGCTGGCATGGTGGCATGGTGGCATGGTGGCATGGTGGCAGGCTGGCATGCTGGCATGCTGGCATGCTGGCAGGCTGGCATGCTGGCATGGTGGCATGCTGGCATGCTGGCATGCTGGCATGCTGGCATGGTGGCATGGTGGCATGGTGGCATGGTGGCATGGTGGCATGGTGGCATGGTGGCATGGTGGCATGGTGGCATGGTGGCATGGTGGCATGGTGGCATGGTGGCATGGTGGCATGGTGGCATGGTGGCATGGTGGCATGGTGGCATGCTGGCATTGTGGCATGCTGGCATGGTGGCATGCTGGCATGGTGGCATGCTGGCATGCTGGCATGCTGGCATGGTGGCATGCTGGCATGCTGGCATGCTGCCATGCTGCCATGGTGGTATGCTGGCATGGTGGCATGCTGGCATGGTGGCATGGTGGCATGCTGGCATGGTGGCATGCTGGCATGCTGGCATGCTGGCATGGTGGCATGGTGAGCACAGATGACAACAAAGTCATGAGCACACTTCTGAACGGTCTTCCTCCTCCTTTACCCTCTTTCCATCTCCCACACTCACATCTTTCCCTTGTCCCTTCTCCCTTCTTCCACCTCTCTCTCTTGCCCACCTGCTTCCACCTCAGTG